TGTTACTTGTTAAATTAATATTTCTATGCATTTTTTTTTTCTTTGCATGACAATTGTTATATTTAAGGAGAGGAACCAGTAAGTTGTAAGAAATTGTTTCCGATAAAAAAAACAAAAAACAATAAAGTTTATCCTTCCCTCATTTGAAAAGATTCCTCAGTCACTAAGCATATACAGCAGGTATTCTCTATAAAATTACCGTGCTCATTGTCATTAAAGGTGTATCATGTTCAAAGAAAAAAATATCAAGATACATTAGGAATTTTTTTTTACATAGAGAATCTTTTCATAAAGTCGCCGTGCATGAAACAAAATATAAGATTAAACTAGATGCTGTTTAACATTCCACAGTAATACCAGCACGCAAGTGTTTGTCTCTATGTACTCTCTTTCGTACTTAGCTAACTAGTAAAAAGCCAAAATAGTTTTTCTATGCGTAAATATACATGTATAAATATGGCTCTCTTATATTAGCATTCATAACCAGTGTGATTTGCAAGAATGTCATGTAGCGTAAACTGTGTTCAAAAGGGAGTTTTGGAAAGGATGATTTGGCTACTGCGTAAAATGTAAAAATGTAAGCGGCGTTCTGGAAGCAGATTTTATAGAAAAAAGTAGTTTTCCGACTTTTTTCGCACTCAAAATTGGTTTTAAAAATTCTATAATTTAAAGCTTATGAAGATTGTTGAACTTCCTCTTTTGAATGCATTGATTTTTTAATCTTTGACTGTAGCAGTTATTCATTTATTGCTCGTACCATATATTTGATAAACCACATCTGTCAAAAAATATTTTGTACAAAGGAAATCCAGAAGTTTGTTATTTCTACTTAATCATATTGTTTACGTAAGTACATAATTATATACAATTCTACATAATTTGTTTTCTTTTCCATACGCAAGTTTTACCCAATATTTTAAGATTATTGTTTTGCCGTGCGACAAGCCTTCCATATTACAGCAATTAATGTAATTACCATAGTTCCAAGAACGAAAACAAAATAATTGCTTTTATTATCTTATTTTTTTCTTCATGCTTGGTTAAATTCTTTTTGTCAAGTGACCAAGAAAGCAATTATATGCTGGGTTACCTCGACCTCTTGGGGCGGTCCGGTCACGTTTTACAAAGTACTTGCTATTAAGACCAAAATCTACTTTTGCAATTTATTCTTTACGTCTATTAAATTGTTATTTTAATGAGTAAAAGAATAATTCCGTTATGTAATTTTATATAAATATAATCTCAAAATTGGCGAGATTTTAGAACTACATGTATGCAACATTTTAAGATTTAATCGAAATTCTTTTGTAAAACAGGACTTTGCTTGTAACACAAACAGTATGATTTTTTCGGCCATAAAATAAAATCTTGAGTGTGTTTATGTTTGATAATGGCTTTGTTTTCGCAGACCGACCCAATAAAATATTCAATTTTGTGTTATCAGCAACGGTTACATTAATCTCAATTGGTTCACATTCGTCAGAAATTTATTTTTGCTCGATGATAAAGATTTTTAGCAATGCCTTCTGAAGAGCTACTTTCTAGCTGAGTCATAATTCTGGGGGAAAAAATGGAGTGGTAAACTTTAAGGACACACGCAACGTAGTTTGAACTTTATAGTCTTTTTCCCTGGAGTTGAAGAGTTCCAATACTTAAAGGAACTGTGTGCTACATTTTATTGTCTATATATGCTGTTGCGCACTTCTTCTAGAACAAGTCTGGATAAACAAAACATCTAGCATATATGTTTAGTAATTTTTGTAAATTTTTCTTTGAATTATACAAGAATTTTCATCTTTTGATATCTTTTCAAAACCCCTGGTAATGCATGCTGATTTTTTTGTCTACGAACATCTGATGGTACTATAATCTTAAATTAAAAATATCTTGAAAAATTATCAGTAGGTAAGGTACGTTGCGTATGTCCTTAAGTATGTACATATTGAAAACGTATGTATACAACGAATGGGTCTATCTATCCTTTCAATTTCACATATGTATATTAATTATTTGTAATACTGAAATCAGCTAAAACAATCTCTGTAGACATCCCATCGTCGCAATCCACGGCCAAAATGTACGATTCTCTCTCCCATTCTGGTAGGAGGGAGCGGACCGTGGCTGGAGACGATGTAGACATCCCTGGCCATTTAAATATATAACAAAGCCAATACAGTACAGATGGGCAATTAAAAAATACTTTATTTTGCTACAAACCCAAACGTTCTATATTATTTAAGCGACAACTCATCAAAGACAAGTCATCGATAGGTACAAGTCAAACTCATCAAAGCGACAAGTCATAGAAAGAAAATTCATGAATAACGACAACTCATCGATACTTGTACTGGATTTTTCATATTCTTGGTCCGTACTTTATCAAATTAGCAATCCGCTGTTGATCCAGTGCGATGGCTATACCTTTGAAATAGTGCCGACTAGTCCCTCCATTATTCTAATCAGATGCACACAATATACACACCTTACTTGGATTATTCTATCAGTTGTACACAATATACGCACCTTACTTGGATTATTCTATCAGATGTTCACAACACACACACCTTACTTGGATTATTCTATCAGTTGTACACAATATACGCACCTTACTGGGATTTTTCTATCAGATGTTCACAACACACACACCTTACTTGGATTATTCTATCAGTTGTACACAATATACGCACCTTACTTGGATTATTCTATCAGATATACACAATACACACACCTTACTTGGATTATTCTATCAGTTGTACACAATGCACACACCTTACTTGGATTATTCTATCAGTTGTACACAATACACACCTTACTTGAATTGTTCCCTCAGTGTATATCTTGCTACAAAAATTGTGTCAAAGCCTTTCAAGGAATAAAAAAGAAATTAATTGACAATTACTAAGTCAGCATACAGTCATGAACATTGAGAACAAAAAACTAAACACAGATTAATAAATGTATATACAAAGTAATTAAAATGAGGTAAACAAAATTCAATACACAATGTACGTACTGGCGAATATATTCACATATTTCTAAGTAGTCATTGTTGGATTTCTTTTCGGATGTTAAAGCAGTTTTTCAAGAAACAACATATCTTTCGGGCAGCTGTAGTATTTGTAGAAATTAAATGACTTCATCATGAAGTTTCTGCGTCCTGAGTTGATTTCAAGAATGCTGCCTGTCGGGTTTCCCCCTAGTTTTTAGTCCCCTACCGGTGAAACCGGAGGGGACTATAGGTTTCCTCTGAGTCTGTCCGTCCGTCTGTCCGTCCGTCTGTCTGTCTGTCTGTCTGTCTGTCTGTCCCTCTGTCTGTCTGTCAGTCTGTCCCACTTGGTTTTCCACACTTTTCTCCTAAACGCTTGCAGATATTGAGCTGATTTTTGGTATGTGAGTGTATCTTGATGAGTTACAGATCAAGTTTGCATTTCGTTCCGCTTCACTGATTTTTGACGGAATTACGGCCTTTTCAATTTTTAGGGGTTTTCCGCAATTTTCTTCTAAACGCTTTCAGATATTGAGCTGATTTTTGGTATGTGGCTTTACCTTGATTAGTTATAGATCAAGTTTGCATTTCGTCCCGCTTCATTAATTTTTGACGGAATTATGGCATTTTCAATTCTTAACAGGAACCAGATTACACTTGCCGGTAGGGGACTAGTATTGCTAATGCAATACTCTCAGAATGCTTGTTACTTCCAATTTGGAAGTGGATATAATTGGATCAACAACTGAATCTGTGTTGAAAAAAAAAAATCATAATATTTTTAATTTTTTTTTTTTTTAATAACTTGGATATTGATCTTTTCAAATTGTCATCAAGATGTCTATCTGATGACGTTTTAAAGAAAAAATCCAAACACGCGAAAAGAGTTAAAAGTTTAAACAGAGCAGATCCAGTTGCAAATTCATTCGTCATCACCAGAGTTGAATACATTCACCTCATCTATTCTATTCGTGCCTGCTAACACATACTTATTTCTGACCGCTGCCCTTGCTGATGCCCATCTATTTAGAATGACACCGTCCTTTATTAATTAAGAAAAGAGAATTCAAAATTTTTACATCTTTTATCCTTTACAAAAATGTTGATATTTCTTACACAAAATTTGTCCAAATTGCAAATTTTTAATCAACAATAAAAATTCTTTCAGAAAGGGCGAATATGTTTGATTACCAATATATGTTTACTCCGTTTCCCCTCAGAATCAAGCTACGTACATTTTCCGACTTGACATAAAAAAAACCCAGGAATTCAGCCACATTATAGATGAAGATTTAATTTTTCTTGAAGACTCTAAACCAGTTTCCTCATAACTTTAATGATACCGACAGACGCAACTGAAACAAATTATTACGTTTGGGTTGCAGACTCCTGCTTGCAGTTTTCCTTCATCATCTTCTCTCCGGTGAGTTTCTTTTCTTCAGTTTGTGTTTTGTGTTATTGTGGCCACCCATACAACTAAACATGAATGATAACCTTTATCAAAGGAAGCTTTAAAAAAATATGCCATAAAAACCCTCATAAATCATAAAATGGCTTCGACCTCTTACGTAAATTTTCACAGAGGTAATTTTGATTTTTGTGATTGCAGTAGGTTACTTACGGTCAATACGAGGTCAATAGAATCGACCGACAACAAATGGGGCCGGAAAAGAAGTGAGGAGTGATGAAAATGTTATTAGTAATTACGTACTCCATTGTAACGGGTAGATTGTATTGATCGCAATTTCATTGCTTGCTATAAGCCAGCCCAGTTTCTTCAATACAGATTCGCGTCACTCATACAACTGTAAAATAAGATTTTAATGATATAGTTTGTTCTATTGACTGTTTGTACGATTAAACTTGCAAGCAACCATTCGTGCATGGTGTAATCCGTTCATACACCCCTATATACCTCTCTAAGATTTAAATACTGTTTACGACATTGGTTCGCCTTTTCTGCTTCTTCATTGGAAATGTTGAACTTTTAATTCCCTCTAAGCGGCGGAGGGGATAGCCACGTTTTCTTGCAACATAATCATATTAGGTTATTCTGTGGACGTCTCTAGGCATATTAGGATTACCTCACAAAAAGGAGACTTTTTTAACTGCCAAAATATTTTTACGATGCTTGAAGTCAAGTGAACTTACATTTTTTTAAAGTACCATAATCGATTTTTTGAAGTGGCTTTTAAAGAAGGTGAAGATGGCTTGATGGTAGATTCCCGCGCCAGTTACCAAGTTTTCCGGATTCCATAAAACGAGAAATACTTGTTTCTCTTTAGGGTTGATTGCAGTCTTGTGCAATCTGTAGAAAATTACTGCGGAAAAAAGATTAAAAGAACTATTCTGTTAGACTTGAGACACTCTATCGAAGTCCATCATGCATACTATGTATGAAAAAGTGGTCTCGGTGATCGCTAAGCCTGTGGAAGAACGGACAGACATTGAGTGTCTGGACCTTATTTCTTGGTTCCGTAACAAATCATCCCTCTTCCAGTCTCTCAAAGCAGGTAAGAATATGTATATTTAAAATCAAATCCCCTAAATATGTTGCCGAATCTCACACAAAGCAAGTATAAGACAGAACGCGTAAGAACTATTGACACAAGGAGAAAATCAATGTCCGTTAAAATTCAGTTTAATTTTTCATACTTCTTACAATTTTTTTATATCATGAAATTGTACAACTCTTCATCACTTCACACCCGATCTGAATGATGTCATCCATTTGGACTCATTGAGTGTCCTTGATTTCAGGTTAAAAGCCATTGTTGTTTCATACCCTGATAAGATCACAATAGGCATGTAGGTATGTAGGTATGGACCACGTGTCTGCTCCTTTATTTTTTCAGATTCATACTAGTATTCGTTACTGTTGGATAGATTTTATCGGGTTTTTATATTTTCAAGTTAAAGTACACATATTTTAGAATTCAGAGAGTTTAAAACTAACCATAACTATTCCCCCCTTCTCAGCATTGTTTTTTTTTTTTGTTGTTGTTTTTATTTTGTGATACTCTAGTCTTGGTGTTTGGTCAATTTCAAGCTGGAAATAAATATCAATCAAACTTATACACTTTCAACCAAGTTAAAAAAAAATCTGCGCAAATTTTAAGGAACAACCATATTTATGCAAAACCTAGGAGGAAAACATTATGCACAGTACATAATATCTGATGTGAGGATCAAGAGAATCCATGCCCCGGAGTTCTTTCATTCTCTCTCTCTCTCTCTCTCTCTGATTCCATAGGTATGGATAAAAGCTTTTACAATTTTTTTTTTTTAATTTTGTAATCCAGATATTTGGAATTCATCTGTGTACGTGCAATTAATTTCTATTTAGATAAAAAAAAAATCGACCAGTTTCTTATGCTTGAGAACCTGTCTGAGTACTGTAAAATTCTCCTATTTGAATGGGGTACATCGCTCTCTCTCTTCCTTACTCTGATAAGAGATTATATTTACCTTGTGCAATACAACTGTTTCGCTTGATTGTGCTTTTCAGCTAACGTGTAAATGTCCATTATATACAGATAATTGGAGCAGTGATCTAAACATTTTGATATCTATTGTCCAAAACTTTAAATTAATAACTTCTTTCATTGACATAAGGATGAATTGTGAAAGGAGAGAAAATAATTTGATTTGTCAAGACTCTCGGAATTATGAACACAGATCTTTGTTCTTCTATTATGAACTTCATGCCTACCTCCTACTCAAAGTATACTATTCAACGTGATTCAACCAATACATCAGAAAAATCTGACATCTTTGGTGGATTGCTAAATAGGGTAGGACTTTCTTAATCAAGTCGAGTGGTTCATATTACCCGATAAAGACAGTTAGACGTTGTAGGCTTTGTTTGGCTTTTTAAAATCATTACGATAATTACAGGTGCTCTTTATACTTCCATCTGATTAAAATTTTTAAAATGTTTTTGAAGCTAGTAAAGGTTTTTTCCCCCCATTTCTTTTTTTTTCTACGATCTGCGAGAAAAAGGTATATTTATTATTCATGATTTGTCTTTTGCAGATAACAATCCGGAAAAATTTTGTGCTTTGTCCATTTCTCAGTATACTCTGCATAACTGATCGATCCAGTAGATCGAATGTTTTATTAGAATTCTACTGTTTTATTATTCATTACAAAAATATTAATCACTCTCTCAATTCTAAAACCTATTCCAAAAGATATTAAACGTCAGTAAAACAGTGAAACACTCAACTGAAATAAAGCATTGAATTTTGGTGCTATAAATGTTATCTATGCCTATCTCACTGGACATGTGAACAATTTTTATTTGATTTTCACAAAGCAGATTCCTTTGAAAGCACTTTATGGCCTTACTTTGATATCCCCATTTTTTTGCTATCCCCTCTGTAAAGAATTTATCAGTGTCTTCAGTGAAAAGGTTCTGTCAAAGAATATTACTTGTGGAAAGAAAATTGATATAAAGGATAACTTTTAGGCGATTTCTTTTAGCAAATTCATTCAGTGAGAGATTGTCATGCCAATTATTTTTGGTTTTTATAAAAGATTGTCTAAAAGATCATCCTTAGACTTGAGATGTCTCTGCAATTTATAAGTAGTTGCATGTCAAAGAAGGAAAAAAAATGATTATTTTGGGAAAAATAAGAACTCTTAAACATTTTTGATGTAATTATCTATATCAAAATTAACTACACCAGAGGAGAAAAAGTAGAGAAAAATAAAGCAAGAACCGACGCTAGATTACATGAGGAATATAAGGGGTGAAAAAATTATAGTATAAAGGAGGGAGAGAAGAAGATTAATTGGCATTTCTATCATTTTTGTTAAAGTTCAATTGTAACGACTCAAACAATGTTGTCATCTTACCTTTAACAATCAGTATACGGACCAATCTATTTCATCAAATAATCTTTGAAATAGTCATAGCACTATCATGTTGTAAATTTTGAATTTACCTCAACCTACTAAATTCAAAATATAACGTACAACATGATAACACAGATTTTTTATTATTATCTTTTAATTTTTTTTTTTTTTAACAAAATGAGATGTGTTAGTATGTATATTTCAAAAACCAGTTGATTGGAAAGTGTTAACGAGACATGGAAAAGAAGGAGGAAAAATAAAATGAAAAGTTGAGAAAATCAACATATAAACTCCAGTCATCTGTATATTGGCAAATTTTCAGACACTTTTGCATACGGAACATGCCATCTTACATAAAATTTATAATCCAAAATACTTCTTAGTGTGTAATAAAAATGAATGAATTTCCGCAACATGACATCAAAAGGAGAGATATTAAACTTGCAAATTGCTTTGAATAAGATGATTTATGAGGACATTTTTGTAGTTCACGTCGATATGTTCCATATACACGTCCCATTTATTACCTTTAAACCCCTTCCGACACACAAATATCGTTAAAATAATTTACAACTAAATACGTTTCCCCATTTCCTTAAGCTGCTTGCCTTTTTTGCCTAATTAGACATTTAGGAACGAAATATGAAAGGATTTATTTTCTTGCGTTCTGTCATTAATACCTTAATTATAACGATTACTAGTAATTGTTAATTATGCCCACCGACAATCAAATCTTGAGATTTTTTAAGGACGAAAAATGTTAACGATTTTTTCAGAAGTCTACAGCGCTTTTAGTCAAATCAGTTAAGGAGAATGGATATAAAGGAAAATGCTTAACAATAACCTTTAGTTTATGAAATTTTGCTCTGTCCAATGTAAAGCAATAGTACTGTTATTTTCAACAACAACAACAAAACAAACAATCAAAGAAACCAAAAAAAGTTGGGTTTAAGAAGGATTTCTCAAACAACATTGTTTCAAATCTTCACCGTAACTTCATTGTTAACCTGTTTAAGTACCTCAACAGGTTAACGTTGTTTATTTTATTTATTATTTTTGTTTGATTTTATTCCATCTCCATTTTATCCTCGAACACTTTTCGAACCTTCTCAATTAGTTCTAAATAAGATTATGGTGAAAATTTGAAACAATGTTGTTTAAGAAATCATCTATAAATCCAACATTTTTTTTTTGTTTCTTTGATTGTTCGTATACACAAAAGTTACACAGATTCCACTATAAAGAATCATACAAGTTTTTCTTGTCATTTCCATTGGATTTGAACAGCTATGACGAGAATATTCATTTACTTGAAGAACGAAGAAAAGTAGTAAATATGCGACGTAAATAATAAATTTTCAAGGAGCTATCATGTTGTAAATTTTGCATTTACCTCCACCTAGTAAATTCAAAACCTTTTTAGTAAAATAGTTTGTATTAAATTTTGCCTTCACCTCCACCTAGTAAATTGAAAATTCACAACACGATAGTGCTTTTGAAATGACACTTTAGAAAAGAAGAATTCACATTTCGAAAGAGCTACGTGGAAACAGAGTAAACCTGTAAATAAGTTATTAAAATCTCTGATAGAAACGTGAATTTCCTATATAAATGCTATATCCAAGCCACATCGAGTTTCTTCCAAATGTTCGAGCGATCGTTTTGTTTAGGTTGTTGTCATAAAGACTTGTCAGAACCTTCCTACCATTTTGCACATTTCTGTTCATTGTTAAGTTAAAAGTTTAAATCTTATTTAAAATTTATCTTTTAACTATCTAGTTGTAGATAAGTCTTGAGATTTAAACTTTTAATGTAACATATACACAGAGAAACACAATAAATAACAAATGCATTCGATATTTGTCCAGACACAGTTTTTTTTTTCTTTCTTTTTTGTTATATTTGTGTGTGTGTTTACATATCTGGGGTGAAAAGTTTCTCAAATATGAATGTCCTCAACTCAAGACGCTTAACAGGTAAATTATTTATAATAACAAGTTGCAACTTTCTGTGTGAAATACACCTACAGAGAGACGCTAATAGGAACAGAGAAGACATGTTCTGAGAAAAAAAGGATTTTCTTCTCACAGTTTCTTAAATGTAGGAAAATTTCACCTGTTTTACAGGACTAAAGGATACTCGGTCATTTTTTCTATCCGCCCAAGGCTGTGGGCACTCATAATTTAAAACGGACATCAAAAGCCCAGAAAAAAGATTTCGGTTTTTTTTTCATTCTGTGTTTATTGACAAATATTTGACATCAAAGAGTACATCATTGACATAAATATGATTTATAATGAAACAGACCTGACATCATAAACTTTTCAATACTTATCATAATATAGTTCATTTTGCTAGGAATGGAATTGCTACACCGTCTTATAGGACAATTTAAACATATTTAGCGATTTGTATCGTAGTATATATAGATCCATATGATTGTGAGTGACTTAATCACTATGAAACGTTTTATCCTTATTGAAGTTACTTCGAAAATTGGCCTAAGTCGGAGAAATACGACAAACGTCCCAGAGTTCAATATCGGTCACCTACACTAACATTACAAGACATATTGAATTTAAAGTTCTTATTTCAAGGCAACATTTAAGATATCCCCAGGTCGTAACTTCTCATACCAAACGTTTGTCGATGGTATATCATTTACACAGTAATTTGGACATAAAAGCTTGGTTATTCTCTCCATCTTCTCCTTGTCTTTTGACCTTGCTACTCTCCATTTCTTCCCCCTGCTTCACTCATTCTTTACCGTTTCAATCTGGACTTTTTCGATCTTCTTGCACGCTATTTACTGCATGAGATCCATATCGTGGAGTCACACATATTCTATGTTTTTCTTTTCTTTTCATTTGTCCCACCGTTCACGGTAGCTCAGTCGGTAGAGCGCTCGCTTCGTGATCGGGAGATCGTGAGTTCGAATCTCGGCCGCGACAGACCTAAGTCGATAAAAAATAGGTAGCAACTGTTCCTTCGCCATGCGCTCGGCACTTTGAAGTGAAAGTTGCGGGTCTTTCGGATGAGACCTTAAAAACCGAGGCCCCGTGTCACGGCAGGCGTTGGCACGATAAAGATCCCTCACTGCTCAATGGCCCTGAGTGCCGAGTAAAGGTCAAAATTTGAAGCCCTTCACCGGTATATGGTGACGTCTCTATATGAGTGAAAAATTCTCGAATGGGACGTAAAACAATATACAATCAATCAATCAATCATTTGTCCAATTCAATTTTCTGACCAATCCACCTTCATGAATTTTCTAAGCTGTTTTACATTAAATTTAATTTCATTTCATTGTTAAAATTATTTAATTTAATTGCAATTTAGAACTTTAATTGAAATTTGTATAAAAACCAGTATTGATTTTGATTCAAAGCATTTATAGAGTCCACAACAAGATGAAAAATTAAAGAATTTTATTTTCAATTCTAATGAATTTTTGTCATATTTGAGATACTTTTCACGTCAGAAAAGACACAGCGCAAACTTGCCTACCTGAGATATATCTGATACAAGTGCATGGAATGTGTATATTTGGTAGATAGGCAAGCTTGCGCTCTGTCTTTCCTGAAACGTGGCCTAGGATTGAGAAAAAATCAAATTAAACAAAAAAAAAAAAAAAAAAAAAAAAAAAAACTCATTTTAAAACAGGGATGACAACATATTTTTGAAATATTGCAATGATCTATGAGAAACCCAGAAGTAGGGACCAAAAAAGGCTTTTAGACTTTCTTGTCCTTTTTTTATTCTCTGACCGTGAACTTAAAACATTTCTGTTAAAAAAGTATAGATACTGCAGTACCAGCACGATGAAATACGTTTTCTGTGGTTTAAAATCAAATATTTAATACTTTAATCCAAAGTATGAGCATTAAAGATAAAGCTTAAAACACGTTCTTTTACATGCACTTCACTCATAAAATATTGACTGCCAAATACCATGTTACATGATTGCAATCAATGTTAATTAAGTTCAATTAGAGAGAAAAGTTGCATGACTTCATTAAAGCACAAAACCTTGCTTATCACCCCATGATCAAAACATTCCACTTGGGAAAAAAACCAAAACAAAACAAGGATGCTAGAGGAAATCTTTTACTTTTGGCAATCGTTTCCCTTATATAGGAGTCACGTTTAAGCAGTTGTTTGGTAACTTAATGTATTAACTTAATGAGGAAGCTTAATGTATTAACTTAATGAAGAAGCTTAATGTATTAACGTAATTCTGCAAAGTAGTGTGATTGAACTGTTCATTTTTTATAAAGATTATTTTTTATCTATAATCATCTTGACTGTAGGTAAAAATGTGGGGCGCCACATATTATTTCTACTCTAATTAATGATTAAAGATATTTCACACTAACCACGTGTAAACGCACTTGAAATACTTATAAAAATCTTATATAACTTTAACAAATCATAACTTTTTTTTATATCGTTGTCTCTTCATTTCTTAAAAGTACATTGTACAAATTGGTTTATTTTTGTGATATTTTATACAGTTCCATTTACATGTATATTGGCATTTCATACAATTCACATTGGTATTTGTAACTTTGATAAACAAATTAACATTATTTACTGTGTATCATGAGAGAATTGTATATAGATCTTTGTAAGGTAATAATGATCACAATATATTCTGACGCTGATTTTAAATCAAGTCGTACCCCAGAAGTAATAAAATGTCACCCAGTGATGTATCACAGAATGACATTCACTGCCCTGTCTAAAAATAATTTAAATACTATCAATATTGAAATAAACTACGATATATTAGCATGGTTACATTATAGCCTTGTCTATTTTTCTTGTGTCTCTTTATATCTATTATTAGCAAATGTTACTAAATTTATCCAGGCAAACATTGTCATTTAAATGATTCCTGGATGTTTTTCAAGACCCTTTGGACTTCAGCCATCAGACAAAACAGCTGTTGACGGGAGGTGACTGTTTAGTGAATAAATCGCATTGTTTTAAATATATTTGTTTAAATTTAGAACCAATGTTATATCTTCCCCAATTTTTTCATATTTGTAGATATAATCAAAGACGTCATACGACATTGTATCTTTGAGAGACCGAAAAGAGATGATGTCATTATTAAGCAGGGAGACAACGGAGACAGGTAATAGCATTAAAAACCATAAACTGTCATCAAATGATTACAGAAATATACCCCCACTTGCATAAGTATTTCAAGTCTTTAACACAGAACAAATTACTGTGGATAAGTATGGAAAAAAATTGTTTGGTGGACTTTGGAAAAAGGTTTAGTTCAATAGCCAAAATAATCTTGACCTTTGCGATATTACCTTGATATTAGGTCAACGCCCCTCTATGTAGGCAAGAATGATTATTGTATGATGTTTTGACACATCACACAAAATGACTTGCGTACATTTTTGACTGCAAAGTATTATAACGTTGTTGATATTTGAAAAAAATAAAGTCCTTTTGCTTTAGAGATCTGAATGCAAAATGACAATATTGGAGTTTTTGAAATAAACTTTATGTCCGGTCTTTTTAGAAAAAGAGAATAACTTCACACACAAAAAATCACTGCTTGCTAATATATAGTATACAGAGATGTTTATAGATCTAAATAATGGGGAAAAAATCAATAAAGATATTTAAATAGACACATCCCAGAGGTATTGTATGCATAAAGTGTAAGGATGGCAACACAAGGAATAGCAAAACAATCCACTTAATGAATAGTGCAAAGCGCACAATAAAGATTACTTGCCATATATTTTCAAAATGTACATAATGAAAAGAGTACTGAGTACAATTTAAAAATGTCAAATGCATATCAATATAATGAAGCATCGACGTTGTCATTTGAGACCATAAAATTTCTAATAAATAAATACATGTAAATATATATACATATACGTTACAGAGCTCCTGATATATATATATATATATATATATATATATATATATATATATATATATATATATATATATATATATATATATATATATATATATATATATATATATATATGCTTTTTTCGAACCAGGCAATCTTCATTCTTTAGCTTTCTGCATTTTTTAAAATCCCACCACCACAGAAAGTTATCAAAAATTATTAAAAAAAAAAGAAAGAAAGAAAGAAAAAATTAATTAATAAATAAAGGAAATAGGAGAACAAGGCGTGCAGAATGCCTATAGCTTCGGATATATGAAAATCATACTCAATTTGTGAATTTAGTATTTAGGGTAAAATTCTCATTGTTGATATTTACTTGTATGAAATTATGATAAACAAAAACTTTTCTGAAGAAAATTTTCTCGGAAAAAATTATTCATTTATAGAAAAATAATGTGGTATTCGTGGGGTTCGAACTCTGGCAATAAAAATCCTGAGTATACCATTTTCTTTTGAGACTAACGCGCTAACCACTACGTTACACAGCTCCTGATGAACGCTGGCATTTTAGTTATGTTTGAAATATGTCCCTCCACTAAAGAGACTAAAGAGAAAGGTGTATTTTTAAGGTGTAGTGGGTATTTCCTCCATGTTTCTGTTAACCAAAAAATTTATGTTTTTACGCAAACTTTGAGGATAAACTTTCAAAAAAAGTGGAGCGAAGACCCACTCATATTTGAAAAATTGTATTATAGTAGGAGAAGATGATGCATTTTAGCACTCTTCAGTGTGTGTATGCTATTTCATAGGCAAATTATTTCAATCTTTGTGAAGTTCTTTGCAGATTGTTGAGATTTTACATAAAGTATACTTTAATGTTAGATGAAATATGAAAGAAAATTTTGTTATATGATTGAGATTTCATTTTTCACCTTCATGTTTGTTGCACTATAGGCATTTCTCTTGCCTTATTCGCCCATCTTCTTTTAAAAAAGGAACAACAACAACAACATATTAAAGTGATTATTATCATTTTCAGACTGTATATCATTCTTCGTGGGAAAATGTCAATTTATGTTCTACAAGACAAAGAAAATGACCAAGAAGTAAAACAAATTATAGAGAAGGCAGTAGCCAAGGGTAAACTGGAGAGATCAGCATTAGGACAACATGTTTGGACGTCAGGTAACATAACAAAAGTTTTATAAATAAACACTCGATTATTCCTCAGTTCTGAGTGAATTTCTTATACTGTCATGTTGTAATTGAGAAATAAGTATTCCTAGTAAAAGATGTCCATTTTAATAATGTAAAATTTTATTTTATGATAACAGTTAAGATTGTTTAAACCCACTCTCTTTTTTACATATTATATTTCATGACAGCATTAGCATTTTTACAAAATTTTTAAAAATTTTTAATAAAGATTTGATAAAGACAACATCGTGTAATTATGAATTCTTTGAATGATTTTGAGAAATTCCTTAAACGTTTTTAAAGTTAAAGGGGAAGAAATCAAATACCTTTTTATTTATAATTCTATGGATTGTCAAGGTAAGTAAGGTTATAAATAACCATTATCAAAATAGTGGATGCCCTTTATGGCTTTTTCAGTTGAAGGTAACACAGTAGGAGAGATCGCCCTAATCAAGGACGACTGTGTAAGAACAGCCAGTGTCGTGGTGGATGAAGACACTGACTTGATGGTTGTTGATAGGACGCTTTATAATAGATCCGTCCGCGACGTTCTAGAAAAAGAATTCCACGATAAAACATACTTCGTGGATACAAATCCTCTATTTTCATACTGGTCACCAAAATTGAAGAAGTCTTTAGCAATTTCTTTGAAACGAGAAATTCATTTCTATGGAAGTCCGATCGTTCGGCAAGGTCAACCCGTGGGAAATCTGTATATAATTACAGAGTAAGTTTTATATGAATTATGATATAATTCCTGGTGAATACGGAAAATATATGTAACTGTTATAAATTCTGCACTTTTTACATTTTTGTTGCTTTTTCTTGTACAGAGGCGAAGTTGAAATTTTAATAGATCAGGCAGGTTATAAAGAACAATATCCAGGAGTTTGGACGGAAATGAAACGATTACTTCCGGAACTTCTCCCCCCGTAAGTGTTTGATGTTTTAAGCAAAATTTTGAATATATGAATCAGGAGCAAACACATATCTTTTCCAGGCAACAGTAAGAGAAATACAATTATAGTTTTAAAATTTCACCATTGTTCATGCATGGACGCGTGATCTTCATTATCTTTAAGGTTCATAACAATAATTTGAAAATAGAAAGTCACTCTTCCTCTTACATAAACGAAAGTTTAAAAAAAAGTGTTATCATATATATCTTCCTTAAAGAGGCTGGGGGGTTGTGGCCATTTTTAGACTATATTGATCTCCTTTAGAAGAAGAGCTCCATATGAAGATATAGAAAATGATCAAATTTTAATACTAAAATTTTTGAAATTTTTCTTTGCCAAATGATAGTTGACAGCTTAAGATATCATATCTAAAAATTAAGTTAAATCTGGTGGTTAATTTGTTGACCCCCCAGCCTCCTTAAGTTACTTTGACCTATTATTGTTTAGCAGTTACTAAGTATATAATACACCTTTTTATCATATTGATTGAAAGGAAATTTTTAGGAGTGTTCTACACCTGTAATGTGTTTAGCGGAAATGGCCTTTTACTGTGAAGCTCCTACAATGAGGACGGCCAATTCATTAGCAATACCTTTTAGTCCTATACACCACACCTCAAAAAATGTAGTCCTGATTGTATGATTAAGCCAAACGGAATGGAATGTTTTGATTTGTGTAAATATTGAAAGTTTAACAGGTTTTGGTCGTTTTAAAGTATTTCATCATTTAAAATAAAAATGAATGCACAACTACAGTGGTCATACATATACTGAAAATTTGTGAAGTTTTGTATTATGTTTTAACAATTTAATTTCCGTTCTACAGGAGACGAAGGGTATCAATAGGAAGGCAAAGGTACAAAGCGTGTGTGACAATGTAGCTCATTAAAACGTTTGTCTGAAAATAGTTCTCACGTAACTTGTGTTTACGTCACTGATTTCTGGGATTCTGTTCACTCACATGGTACAATCACCTCATAATAGATTCTGTTCTCAAGAAAACAAGTTATCTATTTTATTTTAAAGTTTCCTTACTCGTTCTTTGTAATTTTTCTTTTTAACATTTAATCGATGTTTCAATTTTGTGATATTTTACAGGGCATATTAATTTCTATCAATTACAAATAAATAAGTAACACATTAACCACAAGTACATTGTCGTAGCTAAATATATATTTACATTTCATTATTGACAAACATTGGCAAAGCGCTTGACTATCAGTTCAGAAGTGGGGTTTCATTAAAAATTAATTTTACTTTCAATCAATAACTTTTTTTTTTTAAATTTACTAAAAAGCTGTTGTCGTTTAACAATGATTGCACTCACTGTCCTTTTTTTTTTTTTTTAAATTATGAAATAAAATTATTCAAGACATTTGGCTCTGAATAGCAATTTCTTATAAATGATATATTGATTAACATGGGGATTGTTACAGAGAAGTTCCTGTTAATATCACTCCATCTGAGTCCTTGCGTCAGAAAAAGACGATGCATAAACACTTTCAAATGTGTCTGCTGGGTGGAAATGAAATAATTGGTAAGTAGCTTAAAGGAGATGTGTGAAGAAGGCTTGCAGAATGCCTATAGCTTCAGATATGTAAAAATAATATTCAATTTGTGAACTAAGTATTTAGAGTAAAGTTCTCATTATTGAAATTTATGAAATTATGATAAACAAAACTTTTCTGAGAAAAATTTTCTCGGCAAAAATTATTCTGTTTTTAAAAAATAATGTGGTGTTCGTAGGATTCGAACCCTAGCAATAAAAATCCGGAGTATTACTTTCCTTTGAGTCGAACACGCTATTAACCAGTACGCTACACAGCTCCTGAGGAATAGTTGCATTTAAATCATGCTTGTGATATGACTCTTGACGAAATGGACTTCATGTTTTCCTCGGAAGATGCTAATATTGTGTCAAAAAACTGTATTTCTAAGTTATAGTGGTTCTAAGCTCCGTGGTTTTGTTAACCAAAAATGGTTTTTTTACGCAAACTTTGAGGATAAACTTTCAAACAAATGGAACGAAGACCCACTCATATCGAAAAATTGTGTTATAGTATGAGAAAATAATACTTTTTGCCCTCTTCAGTTTATGTATGCCATTTCATAGGTAAATTATTTCTATCTTGTGAGATTTTTACACATTGTTGAGATTTTACATAATTTATACTTTATTGTTAGATGAAATATTAGAGAAAAGTTTGATATAATTGAGATTTGATTTTTCAATTTCATGTTTGTCGCACTATAGGCACTTCGCTCGCCTTGTTCGCCCATCTTCTTTCTTCTTTTTCACATATCATTTTCTACTGTTTGTGAGATAAGAAATCTACTGTGTCTTTACAAATAATTTTTTTCTTTTTTAAAGGCGCAACAGAAACTTTACTGGGCTTAAAAACGTACATGGAAAATGCAAATGTCACTCGAAAGACAGAACTTTTGTCTTTAAGTACAGGAAATTACCAACGTTTGTTCACGAAAAAATCAGCAACTCGAAGTATAGACCTACTGAAAAATGTCATGGTGTCTCGATTATATCTATATATACATAGAACTCAGTTGTCTTTGCATAACGCTTCACTGCTTAAGTACCTATCGTTAAAATTGAGGGATCCTGAGTCCCTGAAACAGCTGCGTTCACGGCATATAAAGAAGCCCAAGGCGAAACAGGAGAAACACAAGGAATACTTCTACGGGGCATTCAATTCCAGACGCTGTGATAAAGAGGAGGAAAATATCAGGAGTTTTCTGAAAACGATGGGGGTATATTATATTTCCACGGATAATTCTCTACCAGAATTAGAAACAAGTCAGCGGGTATTGGCTGACCTCAATGATCATCTCTCTGATTGGCTGAAGCGCACACGAAAAAGCGACAAACCAGAATTCAGGGAAGTCGTTTCTCCTGCAGGACAGAAATATAAAAGATATCGACTTGAGGTGAGCAAATTTAGTCTCCTTTCCGCAATTTTAAATTTTCTCTGTTGTTGTAAAGTAGAAACAAAGTTGAAACTCTTAATTTCTCTGAGATATACTTTTATCATTTTCTCCTTGCTTCATATCATCAAACAGTTTTAATACGGATACAGGTATGTTATTACACGTACGAGTGACTGAATCATATTTACTGAAAAGTATAGTTTTTGAAAATATTTATACTTGAAGCACATTACCTAGACAGAAATTGAATTAAATGTATTTTGCTTTTTTGGGCTACAGGTGTTTTTGTCTTTATAGCAATATAAATTGTAGCTTTTTGGTGTTAACTTGACGTGTGACCCAAATAATTCCTATAAGTATAAATAATTATCATAGGTTGAATTTTGAAATTAACTTAAAGTTGACTTAAAACACTACATATACACCATTATTGTGAAAGGTCTTAAAATGAATATGTTCATTTCTTCAGCAATATCCTACTCAATTATTAATTAGTCCAATACACCACACCTTTATATGGGAATTGTTCTTGAAGTATTATTAGGCCAAATAGAACAAACCTTATCTTTGATGGATGAAAAAAAAAAATGATTTTCCTATATCAAAACTGATTAGTAAATCATATTTCTCTAAAAGAGGTTGTGTGCCTTCTTCTATTAAATGTAAGATAAGTATAATTAAATACTGTTTAAATACTGTTTAAATCAAACCATGCCTCGGATAAAATAAAGAATTAAGGAAATTAACCCTTTATAATAAAGCCTTCAATATAAATTATATGACATACCTGCTTTGTATTTCCTGCTTTTCCAAAAGAGTTCTGGCGAGCGTTTTGCTTACGGGATCATTTTGTTATATAATCTTCATCATTAAACTTCCCCATCTATTTCGGAAGACGTGCTTTGTAATATGACTTCTCAAAGCATATGTATATTCACACTTGGAAATATTCTAAGCTTATTGGATGTGTGCTTTTTACTTATTTTTGAGTAACAAGAGGACGACAAATTCAAAGCATCACCCCTTTTTATCTTCATTAAAAGAAAAAAAACTATTACTAATGCTGCAATACTTCTCTTAATTTGTATCTAATTTGCATTTTTTTCGCATTGCATCTATATAGAGTCAATGTTTTATATTTAAATACATTTGAATATCATATGAACTCCAGTAATTTTAGTGTCATTTTGAAAAAAAAATACTCTTCCTTAAATATTCGATTATTATTTATGTTTTTCATTTTTTTAGGCACTGAGTGAACCGCCACGACTGGACACCTTTGTAAGAACTAAAACAGTTTGTTGATAAACACCTCAGATGATCCTGCGTCAACTCCGAAAAGATTACACAACCAAGGCTGTTGCAAACTGAACGATTTTGTCTCAGTTTCTTAATCATAGATCAGAAATAATCATTGTCATTGGAAGACCTTTTAATGACTTAAGAATAAACACATTTAGCAAATGTTCACATTGTCCAGTTTTTAAATTCTGTTAAAATAAATTTGTAAACCCTGAAATTATCGTTGTCCAAATTTTTTGAACGTATATCAGAATGTCAATTTTCCTAATACGTATCGTTGGTAAAAATGGAAAACCCCCGTTCATCCTTACATTAGGGCGCTGAAAAAGTTGCAGTCTTCACTGGATTTTTTAAACAAATGTTATCTGAACTGTGCTAAGTTATACTTTCATTTTTTGTGCATAAAACAAATAATTTTAATAGGTTAGAGAAAAAAACCCCTAATGTGCAGTATTCGATCAAACTAAACTTTCGTGAAATGACTTCGCCAGTATTTCTGTACTTTAGTACAAATGCCCTGAATAAGTATTGGTTTCAAGGTTACTGCATGTCTTGATCGAAATAATGTTTCTAAGTAAAATCTTCTTATAGCTTTGAGCTTAATTTAAATTTTGCCATTGAGCTATTTGTTTCGATAATCTAAAAGGCGACGTATTGTCCCTGAATCATAATTTAAAAAAGACAAAAAAAGTACAAGGTTGACCAATTTCAAATGCATGTGTTTGTATTGTCTACGGTGATGTACATATTGGTAAATCAGTTGCATTGTGTTGACTGGAATGCTTGGGGATATATCTCCAAATGTAATTAAGTTGTCAACCATGCCTTTCTGAACTTGAATAGATCTTTAAAGTTACCCACAGAATCCAATTTTTCTCGTTGTTACATTACGCACTCCTCAACGTGATTGCATTATTTGCAAATTAAAATGTATATAAAATAGGTTCATTTATGCTAGGATCTTTCTAAAAATCTTTCTATCGCTAAAAATCTCCATTTTGATATACATAAAAATAAATAGATAGATATATCAGGAAGACATAATAATACATGATGAACAGTACACACGAGTTTTATCTTCTTGCACACAACTCAGTTTTTATTTATTTACCACGTACATGTGCATTGTGTTAAATAATCTAACCATTAGTCAGTATCTGTAAAATGAACTACAAAATTAACGTAAGAGGTTTAGTATTCCTGATCTGTTTTTATATTTACCGGACAAAACATAATGACATTTAGTTTAAAATTAATTAAAAGTAGACCGGTTTAAGGTTACATGGGATCAATGCATAGTAGTAATGAGAGCTGTACAAATATTTCGTTGGCCAGCTTGGAACGTATGCTTATATTTATTATAATAATGTGTTTTGAATTCTGACAAACTTAAGTATGATTATTATCAGGTATAAAAGAGAATGAAAAGTAATTAAACTCAATTTACTAATTATACTACAACATTTGTTAATATTCGTCAGGATGTTGTTAATATATGAAATATCGAGATAACGAATAGCAGTCAAACCCATAAGTCCACTGAGAATACAAATCGAGGGGGCAGAGCAAACACAGACCTCTAAAAATACCAGAGGAGGTGTGTCGGTAGATAGTAATTTCGATTCAACCCGTCGGTTCCTCCAATTTGAATTTGCCAACAAAGGAATAGATGCTAAAGGCCAGGCTTTTTGATATCATTGACAGCTGCTTTTTCAATAAAAATGGAACTCGTAAATATACTTACCTTGTCATTGGTCATTTGAAAATTATTTTGTTAAAAAACATTCTGATTGTACACACAAGTACTCTGAAGTTGACATTAAAAAGATGCTTGAGTTTCTGATTGACAATATCTATGTGGTTTTTGGAGACCAGGTCTTCCAACAAACTATTGGAATTGCTATGGGTACCAATTGTGCCCCGTTATTAGCAGACCTTTTTTTGTATTCATATGAAGCAGAATTTGTCCAAAATCTCGTACGTGAAAAGAAGAAAACACTTGCTGTGGCGTTCAACTCGACATTTAGATATATCGACGACGTATTGTCAATTAACAATGGCTATTTCCATTCTTATGTCGATACGATATATCCTGGTGAACTTGAGATAAAAGATACCACAGAGTCTGACACATCTGTTTCACATTTGGATATTTTACTTGAAAAAGACGTTAATGGTAATCTAACAACCAAGCTTTATGATAAACGTGATGACTTTAACTTTTCAATCGTCAACTTCCCTTACTTATGTAGCAATATACCTTCATCACCTGCATACGGGGTATATATCTCTCAGTTGATTCGATACGCAAGAGCATGCTCTACGTATGTACAATTTCTAAAACGAGGTAAATTATTGACAAATAAGTTGATGAAACAAGAATATCAGCTGTCTCGTTTAAAGTCATCATTTCGTAAGTTCTATGGTCGATACAATGACCTTGTCAGCAAATACAATTTATCATTGAGTCAAATGCTGACTGACGTTTTTCATACTAATTGTTAGGCCATTATTTACACACTGAATTGTCGACGGATTTTTCCGTTATTTCCCGATCATGACAAGGAGCACACGGCGGGTGTGACCGGTCGGCAGGGGATGCTCACTCCTCCATGACACCTGATCCCACCTCTGATGTTTGGAGGTCCGTGTTTGCTCTGCTCCTATTTTGTATTGTATAATGGACTTTTGAGCTTGAATACTGTTCGTTATCTCCATATATTTCATGCTTTGAATATTAGTAACATTCTTAATAATAATCATAAAAGAGTTTAATCTTGCATTCCATCAATATTTCAAGTTGAAGTCTACACCCTGCACTTCTTACAGATATTCCCAAACTGTTGCTTCCATCCTTTTTAATCATAAACAAACCTTGCATTGCCTACATATAGAACATCTAAAACAAAATCATCTTAAGCGTTCTTGCTCTTCTTTCAACTACGCCATTACTGGTGATGTTAATATAGTTGAAAATGACGACCTAAAAGCAATCACTTTAAAAGTCCGTTACACAGAGAGCCCCGATTTTCAATTGGCGGCAACCGTCACGTTGGCTCAGTCGGAAGAGCGCTCGCTCCGTGATCGGAAGGTCGTGTGTTCGAATCACGGCCGCGACTGACCTAAGTCGATAAAAAATAGGTAGCAACTGTTCCTTCGCCAAGCGCTTGGCACTTTGAAGTGAAAGTTGCGGGCTTTCGGATGAGACCTTAAAAACCGAGGTCCCGTGTCACGGTAGGCGTTGGCACGATAAAGATCACTCACTACTCAATGGCCCTGAGTGCCGAGTAAAGGTCTAAATTTGAAGCTCATCACCGGTATATGGTGGCGTCTCTATATGAGTGAAAAATTTTCGAACGGGACGTAAAACAACATATAATCACTCAATCAATCAATCAGTTGGCGGCAGACGCTTATGCCATACATTGGGCGGAATAGGAAGGGGAAGTCAGAATGGATTAAGTGTTAAGTAAATATATTAAAGAATCGTGTTAGAGAGTTAAAAGGCAAAAGGCAATATGCGAACCATTTATCCTTCCGTTTTCACAAAATCGGAGTTGATAAAAGGATTAGAAAGACTACATGAACAATATGTTATGGTTCCAGCAAACAATATCGTTTTTGTTTGTAAGGCTCATAATTATAACTGTATTTTAGAAGAGCTTGGTTTTAATATACATCTGTAAATCCTACATATACTCACAGTTCACTTTCTACAGAGGAAGTTCTTCAAAATACATTTCAGTCATTCATACTTTCAACATTCCAGTCAACCAAGGTGAGTTCGATTTACTCAAATTATACTGAGATTCCTAAACATCATAAAAATCCTTGCAAATAAAGATACATTGTCGGGTCCAGCAAGTGAACTACCAAGCCTCAAAATACAAAATATTTACTGCTGTAAAGGAGAAAGTTCAGACGTGCTGTGCTACAGCATATTCTAGAAGTGTTGTAAATCAAGTATGGATTTTCAAAAACTCCAAAGACCTTCTGGAAAATTTAAAATCACAAAATTTTTCAAAAGTTAGTAACATCAAAACATACGACTTTTCTACGCTTTATACAACAAGTCCTCATGATAAATTAAAAACTAGGTTTTTTTGATATCGTAGACAACTGCTTCTTCAATAAAAATGAAACTGGGAAATTTTCATACCCAGTGACTGGTCAACAATAAAATTACTTTGTTAAAAATCACTCTGATTCTACACACAAGTACTCTGAAGTTGATATTAAAGGATGCTGGAGTTCCTCATTGATAACATTTATGTAGTCTTTGGTGATCAGGTCTTCCAACAAACTGTTGGAATTTCGATGGCAATAAATGTGGTCCTTTATTAACCGATCAGTTTTTATTTTCCTTTGAAGCAGAATTTATTCAAAAACTTCTACACAAGAAGAAAAAAATATTTGCCGTGGCCTTCAACTAGACATTTATATATATATACATATATACCGACGACGTTTTAGCAATGAAATATATGGAGATAACGAACAGTATTCAAGCTCAAAAGTCCATTATACAATACAAAATAAGAGCAGAGCAAACACGGACCTCCAAACATCAGAGGTGGGATCAGGTGCCATGGAGGAGTGAGCATCCCCTGCCGACCGGTCACACCCGCCGTGTGCTCCTTGTCATGATCGGGAAATAACGGAAAAGTCCGTCGACAATCCAGTGTGTAAATAATGGCCTAACAATTAGTATGAAAAAGGTCATTGTTTCGACCATAGAACTTACGAAATGATGACTTTAAACGAGACAGCTCACAAATAAGTTTCATCAACTTATTTGTCAATAATTTACCTCGTTTTAGAAATTGTACATACGTAGAGCATGCTCTTGCGTATCGAATCAACTGAGAGATATATACCCCGTATGCAGGTGATGAAGGTATATTGCTACATAAGTAAGGGAAGTTGACGATTGAAAAGTTAAAGTCATCACGTTTATCATAAAGCTTGGTTGTTAGATCACCATTAACGTCTTTTTCAAGTAAAATATCCAAATGTGAAACAGATGTGTCAGACTCTGTGGTATCTTTTATCTCAAGTTCACCAGGATATATCGTATCGACATAAGAATGGGAATAGCCATTGTTAATTGACAATACGTCGTCGATATATCTAAATGTCGAGTTGAACGCCACAGCAAGTGTTTTCTTCTTTTCACGTACGAGATTTTGGACAAATTCTGCTTCATATGAATACAAAAAAAGGTCTGCTAATAACGGGGCGCAATTGGTACCCATAGCAATTCCAATAGATTGTTGGAAGACCTGGTCTCCAAAAACCACATAGATATTGTCAATCAGAAACTCAAGCATCTTTTTAATGTCAACTTCAGAGTACTTGTGTGTACAATCAGAATGTTTTTTAACAAAATAATTTTGCAAATGACCAATGACAAGGTAAGTATATTTACGAGTTCCATTTTTATTGAAAAAGCAGCTGTCAATGATATCAAAAAGCCTTGACTTTAATTTATCGTGGGGAATGGTTGTGTATAAAGTTGAAAAGTCGTAAGTTTTTAAGCTGTTGATTTTGGTAAAATCTTGTGATTTCAATTTTTCCAAAAGTTCCTTGGAATTTTTAAGTATCCACATCTGATTTACACCACTTCTCGAATATATTGTTGCACAGTTAACAATAGTTACTTCCATTCATATGTCTGCCACGTTTCATATATTGGGATTTTTTTTTTTACTGAGTATAGATTAGAAGAACCACCTAATTACTAAACTGTGTGATAAACGAGATGATTTTATCTTTACCATTGTCAACTTTCCTTATTTATGTAATAATATTAAACTTTCACCTGCATATGGTGTTTATGTCTCTCCCAACTTATTCGATACTGTAGATCACAAATTTTTTGCAATACCTTATTTTCGCGAGATAGGTATTTGGTATTGATAAGCGTGACAAAATCAAGAACCATGGTTATTGCTTTATATCATCTAGGCTAATAAAATCTTATGCGAGAATGAAATTTTCGTGGGCAGATTGTCTCGCGAGGATACTGACAGAAAAGTTGATGTTACAGGGATTTCAACAACCTAAAAATGTCAGCATTTCGTAAATTCTATGGTCGTTATAATGTATAACCTATCACTGAGCGTATTTTGACTGACATATTTCATACCAATTGTTAGACCGTTGTTTTTATATTAAATTTGACTACCGAATGTTCCGTCTACCTGATCGATACAAAGTGCTCACGGCCAGTTTGACTCGTCGACAGGGGATACCTACTCCTCCTAGGCACCTGATCCTACCTCTGGAATTTTAGGAGGTTAATGTTTTATGTCCTTTCACAGATTCGTATTGTTTGTAGCTTTCTTTGAGATCGATCACTGTTCCTTATCTTCACATTTTTCATTAAAATATTTTTGAGGATGAATGAGATATAATATGGATATCAAATTTTAAATTCACATTGCTATACCGGTTGGGTTTTGATAGTGCATACTTCACCACGCTCAGGGAGGACAGATGTTTTCCAACATCCTCTATATACATGTACTCATATCATTCCTGCCATTTTGTAAGACTCCTCTCATTTGGCTCTTAAAACCCCATGTTTTGAAATAAAGTCAACCGTTGTGTGTTTTGTGATACGCTGCTAACCTGAACAGAGGTAAGGGAATTGTGGTATACATATTTATAACCTGATCCCACCTCTGGTGTTTCCAGGGGTCCGTGTTTTTGTCCTGTTTACAATTTGTTTTATTTACCGGATTTATGAGATTGATCACTGTTCGGTATCTTCACATTCTACATTTACCTCTTTCTACAGAGGATATTAGTCCCAAGTACTGTTTTTTTTTTGTATTCAACACTGCATTTTGAGGCCTTTAGATAACATATAAGTAAACAAATATGTATGTGTGTATCTGTGTCAATTATATCAACATTAGAAATGTGATTGTTGACTTTGTTTGCAACACAAAAAGCATCTTAAATCAATTTTAGTAGTGTTATGATTTTCATACGTCATATTCTACTAATCTGATAGCACACAACATTGATTTACATTATTCACTCTCTTTTCAAACATAACTTTTAACGTTATAAACTTCCATTTTTGGTTAGATTGGCATCTCTGTCATTTGTATCGTTTCCATTGTCACCCCTCTCACTACTAATCAAAGGCGTGGCACTACTCGGAATCTCGTCCTCACTACTTCCTAATTTCGGATCCTCTATGATGATTTCACCCACACCATTAATCTTTTCTTTCTCCGAACTCACTGTGATCGTCACATTGGCGAAATTGTGTACTTTTTCTTGCTTGAGATCTTTTTCGGTGAATACTTGTTCTTTATATACCTAATATAAGATTTTTATGTTTAAATACACGGCTTTTTCCAATAAGGTTGCTTTAAAATAATAAGATTATGACATAAAGAAAAATTATTACAGCTCCTTAACTTGCCTTAGATCTGTCATAGCTATATCCAAAGCGTAATGGTTTTCTAATCTTCTCTGGGAGGAAGGAGAAAAGTTCGTCCGTTAGTGAAACCAAATAACGTGGATCCGATTCCTCCGGTTTTGTGTATCCTGTGATTAAGGTTTATTAAACTAATTATTAATAGATAGGATAGAAAAAAGGTACTAACTAAAGGCTTTTTGCCAAAATGTTCCACAGTTGTTGCTTTGAGCAATTGACGCTTGCGTTAAAACAGACCTGCCTTAAATGCTTGAAATACAGAATTTATTATTTTTTAAATGATTTATAAAAAAAAATCCGATACCCGTCAGAAAGCTAACAATAGTTCCTGTTATGATGCTGTTAATCAATCCAATGACACCAAGCAGGGTGTAAGAAAGGGAGTACAACTGGTCCAGGCCTTGTCTGTACACGGTCAAAAAGAAAAGTATAAGTCAGATAACATTTTAATACAGCTAAAGAATGAAGATATAATGAATGAATAAAGTAAATTAATGAATTTAAATAGATGAAAACTTAATGACAAATTTTATAAATGTGTATCTAAAATTATTTTTTAATAATTTTTGAAGAAACACTCACGGCTCCAGTGGTTGAATAAAAACTGATGATTTTGTAGATAACTCGGTAGATGATAGGAATGTTTCTAATGTCGTATTTGTCATCAAGTCGCTAGCATTGACGACAGAGGGAGCAAAACATTGGTCAACTGGTGCCGCTGGTAGGGGTGGGGTTCTTTTAATTCCTTTTGACACAGACATTCCTGCAGCAATCCATCCAACAAGAGCAACCCCACTTATACAACCAAAGATAGCTCCCTACAAAGATGTCATTTATTATACTGTATAAGTATGAAAATACGTTGTATTTCAAGAGGAAATGAACATTAAAGAAGTTATCTACCTTAGAATTGATCCATGGACAAAAGCACCCTACAAGATACACCCCTGTTAATGGCCCTCCTATCGTGGAGAGAATAGTTCCAGTGATCTGAAACGTTAATTCATAATCTACTGTATTTTTAGAAGAAGAAAGTAGATAAAACATTAAAATAATTTTTTAAAAATTTTCATTTTTATTATCTTTTAAAATTGTTTTACTTTTTATATTTTTATTATTATTTTTTTTTAGGTAAGATATACCTGTATGAGAGTTCCACCAATGGTCGATACAAGAAATGCTACGATGATTGCCAAACTACCAAATATTACAACTAAAATTTAAAGAATAATAATATTTTAAACAATTTGATTATTTGTTTTTATCGTAACACCATTGTCTGTTCAGAATACAAAGAATTATAAGATCTAATAATTGAATCACCCATATGACAAGCTTACAACTTAACAATACTCACAAGTTTAATATTTGATCACATTCTTAAATTATCAAAAATAATATATTTTACATTTAACTTGTACTGAAGTGTGAAAAATTCCGTAGTGATAGGAAAATTATTCCCTTCCATTCTCGTACCTTTGCTATACTAGTATCACGACGAAATGTTTCCAATTGCTCTTGTAATTGTTACTGGAGTGTTTTTTCTAGGATATTTTTTTTCACATGCTTTTTTAAAGACTATACCTGATATTTTAGCTATCACGGTAGCTTTGAATTCTGACATTGGTTTTGTGTGAGGTCTAACAAAATCCTGCCATACTAATGCAGACAAACTACTTAGTCCGGATGACAGGGTGCTGTGAAAAGCAAAGAACCATTGAGAAAATTACTCTAATATAATAACAAACACAGTCTAAACTGAATAAGCAATCAGCTTTCATTTATTTATTTTTTTGAAAGATTACCTTAAGGATGCGCTAAAGAGAGAAGCAATGAAGAGACCAGGCATACCATGCATGTTTCCAAACATACCCATTACTAGAGCTGGGATCAGCTATAGAAAATAAAAAAGACATACAGAATGCTTAGATAATCTAACTAAGAAAGACTGTTTGTAAAAGCAAAAGGCCAATGGCCACAATGCTCACATCCTGAGTTACAAATAAATGTACGTGTAGCCTTCAACATAAAAACCATGACTTCAGTTCTTTTAGTTTACAGTTCACTGCCAGGCTTGAGATAAACTTAACAATTACTTAGTTAGTCCAGTAATTTAAGTAGAAGAAAAAAAATTGGACTTCTATTCTGGTTCATATGTAGCCTCATGGACCATTATTTAAGCAAATTATAATATCTGTACAATATAAAGATACTTTCATTTTAGAACAATTAATTGAAGTCCTGCTGTATGCGAGCAAAGGATTTTTAAACTGTTTCTTGTATATCCAATGTAGAACGTTAATTCCCATTGTAGCTCCATTCTACCCTGGTCACCAAAGTTTGGAGAAACAAAGAATCTACATTAATTGGATTTCTACTTCGCCTTATCATTGCCTTGCTGTTCTTAAGGAATTAAAAATATTTTGCCCTGTTATATCAACCATATTTTGTGACCTCATCATACTACCCCAACAAATTTGAATCAAACCTACATGGGAATGTTTGTGTATTAAAGATAAACTGTGCTTTTATCGTTTTAGAATATTTCTATAATTTCCCCTGTATATTCCTTTGTAATATTGTTAATACTGGTTTTATTATTCTTGGAAAAAAATCTCAAAGTTTTTGTCTTTCTTTTATCTTTCTTCAACTGTGTCCTTAGTGTAAGCATCGGGCCAAAAAATTGTACAAATCTGAATTCCATTTTTCTTTAGTTTACAAGAAGAGAAGTATGAGAAAAATGTACATAGCTCTAACCTGGTTTGAATTTTTGATTGTCTTTGATTCTAGAGGATCGCAACGAAGGACATGGAAGTAGGAGTATGCTATAATTCCCTCTGTGACTGCCAGGAATATGGTAACGAGGAAACCAGGTGCAGTGTAATACATTACCCTGGAAAGATTAAAAAAAAAGTGGTTTAAAAAATTCAACATTTTATAATTAAATTTCCAAATTACTCTTAAATAGCAGTATCGCCCATGAATCATGGCCATTCACATTTTGAGGTGAAGTAGAATGTATTTTATTTGGTTCTAAATGATTATTCTTTGAGTAACAGCACTGGATACATGTATGCATTTGTACACAAATTTTGATGAAATTAAATTCTCTCTGCAAGAATCATGTTTGAGAAACATCATATTATAATTACGAATAAAAATTCAAAAGTTTGTATTTTACTTTTTAGCATCAGACAGCGTAGGAGTTGAAGATATCCTTTGAACAGAGGATTGATTGAAAATCAGGAACATTCCTCTGACAAGGGAGCCAAAAAAGAGATTCCAAAACGTGTGCCGAGTCCTAGGGTCCAAGTCAAAACTAGATCAAAGACAATTAAATGTGAAATTTGTAATTATTGTATTTCTACAAACTTCCCACCTGAAGTTTCCATACTCCTGCGATTTAAATACTAATAAAACTGTTGCATACTACTTGCACTTTGCGTAAATTGTGTGCAAAACTGTAATTATAAGAGTGAATCTCACTTGAACCAGTTTAATCTTCCGTTGTTGTTGGCAATTTCCCAGGTTTTGCCCACTCCTCCTATATCAATTGTTCCCTGGTGATAGAAAAACAACATATAAACGTTAAAACTATTGCATTATTCTATTTATCCTTGAAGCTTCCGAATGCAAGGTCGTATTGTGAGGCATTAACTTTTTTTTTTAGAAGTTTTATAAAGAAATTAAATACAGAGAATATTTACCTTATACGACTTAAATTTTGGCTAAAGTACAGTGGGTTACCATGATGTTGTGGATATATGCAAACGAGGCATACTTATAAACTAAGACTCACTTTTATCAGTACAGCAAAGATTCCAGAAAACATAACAAGAAACTGAAATACATCAGTCCATATAACAGCCTTGATTCCTCCCTGTCAGAAAAGAATGGAAGAACAACTTCACTTTATCATTGTAACTCATCATTAACTCATCATTGAGTAAGACAAAGCAATATTTCGTAACAAATACCTGTAATTTAATGCAAAATTCTTTATTGGTGATGGATTTTTTCCTAGAATAATTGACCAATTTAATTTAATCGAAATGATATAAACATAAAGAATTAAAACCTATTTTCTCCAGTGCATTGTCTATCATCATAACCAGAATAACTATATAAGGCCTTGTTTTGTTTTGATTTGTTTCTTAGGAAAACTTAACAACACAATGGCGATCGAAAGCAATACTTTTTTGGAAGTTTTAATTATTTTTTAATGCATAATATTGTTATCCACCGAGTCGACTTTAGAGTCAACATAAACACTTTTATTAATTGAAATTATTGAAAGGAACTCAAAGATTACATTGTAATATGCAATGCAAAAATTTCGGAATAGAAAAGTTTCACTGTCTCTTATTTAAGGCCATCAGACAAAATAGGAAAATAAAAGCCGATTGTTAAATCTTTAAATTAGCAGTATTTATCCTAGTATCATTCCAAAACTAATTCTGAATTTCACGTCAAAAATAATTGTGTGCTTACAATAGAGGTGTATATCACAGCAGCTATGGCAACGATGAATATAGAATAGGCCAAAGGAAATCCCGTCACTGAAATATAAAATGATATGTAATATTTAATTCCCACGTATCTTTTACACATATATATTTAGAATTTATTTATGTAACGATACCTGCTTCCAAGGCTAAGGCTGGGCCATAGAGGACAATACCCATATATAATACCTGAAAATTAAATCAAATGTAACATTTAATTTTTATTCTTAAGAATTTTTTTGGTCGGCCTTTATCAAATTATATATTGATATAGATTAATTAGTTTTAAAATTTACATCTTGGTTTCTGGTTATTTAAAAAAAAAAAGGGGGGGGGGCAGAAAAATAGTTTAACAGTAAGTGTTGACTTACGTAGTTAAGCATTCCTAGAGATGTGGCCATTAGTCTCACAGCGTGTGATTTAAATCGAAGCTCTAGATACTTTAAAAGAAAAAGAGTAAAAACTTAAACAGATGAAAAGCTCTGGTAATTAAATAAAGAAGACAGTGTACATTTATATACTGAATCATTGTTGAAAAGTTATTCTAAAATTACGAAGACAGATTTCTAATTATTGAAATAAAATTATGTGGAATATAAGATTTTGTGATGAACCTGAAAGACTAGCCAAGATGTGAAAGTTTCTTTCAACTAAGATAACATTGTGTGCGTAATTTTGAGGGTTTACAAACAAAATATAGGTGAAAAGTTACCTAAACTAGTTTATCTATATATATAAAAATTGTTTTGATATGCTATTATGTTGAAAGTATACTGCGATTAGGGACATGACAACGCATTACTAATTGAGGTATCAAAATTCAGAATACTTCAGAACCATGAATGACATGAATACAGAGAAATTTAAAGTGAGGCCAGAAGCTGATTCTTCTATAAAGTCTCTATGTGATACCTAAAGGAATGAAAACGAGAAAGAAAGAAGTGTATCGGCATGTCAAACGTTGACTTTTCGATCTTTTCCACTTGTGTTCTATAATTTTCTATCCATTCTGTGTACTTTTTTAATTGTTTTTCTGTAATTTTTAACTTGGTTTGTATTTATATTCTAATATTTTCTATTTGTATTCTATAATTTCTACTATATTTTAATCCTATGTTCTACTTGTATTTTTTAATTTTCCAGCTCTATGTTCATTATTTACATCGTATAATTTTCAGTTCTTTTTTAAACCATTAGTATTTTTTATAATGATTCAACTTGATTTGTATGTGAATTCAACTTGTATTCGATAACAATCTTTACTAAAGTATTGTATAGTTAAAATCATGACAAAAAGAAGATTCTAAAAACAGAATACAATGTATTTGCTATCGAATACTCATGGAATTTACATACAATACAACTTGAAACATTATCAAACACGAATTATTTACGACATTATTATTTTATATTACAATACAATTGAAAATTATACAATATTAGGAAGGAAATATATGTAGAATTTAAATGGACACGTATTGAATATACATGGAAAATTCAGCTAGTAAATATATAATACAAAAAGACAAGAACAAAATACAAATCGTGAATTATAGAATATGGTCAGAAAATATACAGTATAAATATAAATTATAGGATTTAAATGGTTAACAGAACAATACAAAAGCCAATGGAGAATATAATAATGGCAATTTTAGAATAAATGTGAAAAATTCCACAATTCAGATAAAAAATATTCAAAACAAACAAATGGACAATAATATATAGAATACGAATGCATATTCATAGAATACAAATGAAAAAAGAAATATACAAGTAATTATACAAATGGACAATCAGAACTCGTAAAAATATGATTAATTATCAAATTGTGAAATACAATATAAATGGACAATTATATACAAATGGAAAAGATCGCATATTGCAGCGATTGCCATGCAATAGCAAAACAAACCCTTCAAGAATTTCTTGCTTCCATGAATCACTTCTACTTCGTTTTTTTTTTCACACGTTGATGAGCTGGCCCCAGGATCACGAAACAGACTTAAACTTAAGTCAAACTTTCAATCGCCTGTAAAATGTTTATTAGTTATTGAACTAATTTCTAAATTTGCAGATAACACCACCTTTCGAAAGCAATTTTGAAAAATATTTAAATTTTTTTCTGCTTGACTTATAGAAAAATTTAGTACAACATAAAGATTTTGACTTAAGCTTTAGATGTTTCATGATCCCGGGGCCTGTTCTGTTTTCATTTGATCATTTATTGAGCAATTATTAGTAGATTTTAAAATTTTCAGAATGCGTTTAAAACACTTTGAAATATACTGATGATTGCAAAGTACTGGAAATGAAACAGTCTTTACTTTTTTACTTGAACTGAAATTTGTCGTTGTTATGAGGACGGATTCAAATCATACGTATTTTTACTATGAGCTCACTCGGCGCAGGATTTATAGACATATATTTTGATATAGTTTATACGGAAATTGACTGTGGAATCGTTATATGCATTAAAATTCTTATCGAAACTTTAAACATAAATACATGTAGATGGATAAAAAGATATTAGACAGCTCGTAGTAATATTACAGAAGTATTTTACCTCATTTGCACTGGTAATCTTTAGCGGGTGAATCAGTGGTACCATGACTTTGATCGCTAACAGATTTGCACAAAAAAATCCGATGTTTGCCCATACCCACTGAATGCCATATCTGTAGATTTCCGCCGGAGTTCCAAGCATCATTATGCTCGACTCGAAGGATACTAGTAGAGATATTGCCACGGGAAGAACAGCCATTCTACGGTTACCAACGAGATATTCTGAAGTGGTTTTCTGGCGGCCCCCAGAAAGAGCCTGATAGATTCCGATTCCAAGGGAGACAACAATGGTAAGCACGAAAACGACATAGTCAACGACTCCAAAGTCATGTTTCTGCACTGTATGGAAATAACATAACTGTCATGTAAATTTTGAATTTAACGATGGTACTAATAACAAATTTTACAAGTTGTCAGGGTGTAAATTTTGAATTTAACGATGGCATTAATAACAAAATTTACAAGTTGTTAACTCATGTTGTAATTTTTGAATTTAATGATTTCATTAGAAACAAAATTTACGTAGTCAGGAAGTAAATTTTGTATTTACAGCTACTCCGTAAAATCAAAATTTTCAACACAACAAAATTTCTGTAGGATTAAAAGCATATAATTTCTTAACAGCTATTAAATTCAATAACTTGACACAAATTTAGGATACTAGAGTATATCAAATCCAAATTTTGGGGTTTTCCATGAGATGCCACACTAAATGATGGCAAACTTGGCTAATGAATCAAGTTACATTATAAAAAGATTTCGAATCTTTCGGTTTTTTTTTTATATTTTGAATAAAAAAGAATAACTCGGGCTTTTAAATACAAAGATAATGATGACATAAATGGTCAAGAAACTTACTTGTTGTTGCCTGCCGTCTGAAATGGTCCAAAGCCGGACTGAGGTTGGGAAGTGGGGATACAATTTCACACTTTACATACTCTGTATACTTATATAAGGCTCAATAGGACGCTGGGTCTACCTCTTTTGAATAACTTACCAAGTCTGAATATGACCTGGCATAAATACTTACCTTAAGTTATAAATCAGGAACATGGTCATTCTAATCTATAGAGCCAGTCTGTAAAATGTCAGAAAAGATTTTTTGACCTTCAATTTCAACTGTTACATATAATTTTATATTCTAGGAAGATATTGAGAAATACGTAACTAGTTCTATTTAGAAACGATGAAACCGACAACAAATCACACAGATGTAATATTGCTATTAAATTTTGTGCATTTATATTACTTCCATGTGAGAAATAAGGGAGGTGTGTTAAATTCTAGAAACTCTGCTTGTTGATGCTTTCAAAGCAGTCAAACTACCATTACAATCCCTTAACACCTGAAATTGTCATTGCGATAGAGATTTTCTCTCTAAACTTCTCTCAATGCCAACAAAAACCACCCTCACCAGTTCAAACTGCAATGCTTTTTATGCATATGTGAGTTCAACTTATGGGACAAGAGAAAATTGAAGGAAATTCTTAAATCACGATCTAGTCTGTTGTATTACTTAATTTCTATGACCAGATCTATTCAATGTGAGTTTTTGTGAAATGCTCTGCTTTATTATATTATTAATTTAATTCCAACTTAAAAACATCATTTTCATAATATGATTTTACTGAAATATCAAAGTATACGTTCAATAGTGTATCATAAACTCAATACACAGGGTGACACTATATAGATGAAGATGAAATATTGAATAATATTTTTACTTTATTAATATTTATGTTAGTCTTTCAGGCACAATGAAGTTCTAAAAATTAAATTTGTACTTACTACCATGACGTGCTCGATACTCGGACAACGCCCACACTCTGTGTCTCTCTGTCTGACGTTCAATGACGGAGCGTTCTCTGTCCCCCAAGTCACCCCATCCTTGTTAGGAGGATATACAGAAATTGAAATGATCTTACATTCAATGTTCATGTGTGAAATAAAGTACAGAGTGTATATGAAATACATTGACATGTATTTGACAACTTCATCCTATCAATTATAATTTACTGGCTTCGTGGATATTTGTGAATGACCTTGTTTCCCAATACTAGTCTACTTATTGAAGTCAATGTTGAATCTGTCATATAGAAAAAGGAACCTGTAGTCGACATTTTTACACAAATACGAATACGAGCAAACAATTTACTAACTTGCGGAGGGTGTGATGGTGGTTGATAGAGATGGGGGTGTAGGAGGATTAATAACTTTTCCCGATAAATTTTAATTATCATACTTCATTTAAATGTTTGAATACAAGAACTACTGGGCCAATTTCAACCAAACTTGGCACAGAGTATCCTTGCGTGAAGGGTATTCAATTTAGTTCAAATGAAGGGCCACACCTTCTTCCAAAGGGGGATAATTATAAATTAGTGAAAAATTAATGACATCTTTTTAAAAATCCTCTTCTCAAGAACTACCGGGTTAGAAAATATGAAACTTATGTGGGATCATCCTCAGGTAGTGTAGCGTCAAATTTATTCAAATCATGTCCCCTGGGGATAGGGTGGGGCCACAATGGCCGATCAAAGTTTTACATAGGAATACGTAGGAAAAATCTTTTTAAAATCGGCTTAAGAACAGCAAAGCCATGATTAGTCATATTTAAACAGAAGCATCCTCAGGTATTGTAGATTCAAAGGTTCATTCTCTATTTAAGGCCGTTTTCCGGCCTACAATGACTTCAAAATTTCAACTAATATTTTTTCCCTTAAAAACTGCTTCAATCATCAGACTAATAATCCAATTTATTCATAAATGTTGTTTGGTTAGTGGTTCTGTAGTATCTGTTACGACATCTAAATAAAAACTTTTCGCTTCATTTTAACGATAATTTTAGGGAAAGCTGACTTATTCATAATGAAGATATCACCTTGTTTAGATTATTTCATGTTCTAAAATTTCTGTTAGAGTACAATTTCTAGTTAATAAAAGAGAATGAATATAAGCCATGCTATTTTCACTCGAAAATATTGTTTTTCTAACTGAAAAATCAAAAATCAAAGGACTGGAAAGACTGGATGTCATGAAAATACTGTTCTGAAATCTAGTTATTACATATGATTACAAATCCATTGAAGACAGAAACAATACTTTTTATAAAGTATATAGTTAGAATCTTTATTCTTGAGTGTAGATTTAATTCTTCTTTGAGTATATCTGTTAGTACATACGTACTTGAAATCATAGAAACCATCGATGTTGTAGTGGAAGAGACACGTCTGTTTTATTGTAGTATATTAACTAATTATAGTAGGTAATTGTGATACATGTAGATAAGGAATTACAAACATGAAATTTTGCCTCCATCTTTTAGAGGGACACTCCTATTTTCCCCTGATGAGTGACACAAGATCGAACTATTTTGCTATTTTGAAGTGATCAATTTAGTATTGGGATTTAGGAATGATACACATTTTGTAGCAATACTAGCATAGGGAACAGAGGCTCTGTCTCAGAAACCCAAATGTGAAAAAGGGGGATGGGGACTAAAGAACGCATGTGATTGATTGTATGTTTTACGCCATACAAGACATTTTATTTTTCACCCATGTAAAGTGGTTGCCCCTTTTGTGAGGAGTAAAAAATGAATTATGCATGTTGCTTCTCTATTGGCCAATATTTATCGTGGCACAGGACCTCCGTTTTCAAGAATATATTTAAAACAAATTAACGACTCTTACGCTTGTTTAGCAAAGGGAGGGTCGGTATCCATGCTAAACGCATTAGTTTTGTTGGACCGCGAAGGAGGAATTTAGAAACCCTTTGGCCCCCAGAGCCAACCACTTGACTTGTGATCGATGTTGAAAAATAAACACCAAAATCATAAAATAGAGAGATTAAAATTACGCAAAATTACATTTTTTAATAATTTCATCGTAGGCCTTAAAATGACCTTATAGAGAATCATCCTTTGTTCAAATCATGACCCATTAGGAGTAGAGAGGCGCCACAACAGGGGATCAAAGTTATACAAAGGAATATAAAGGATATAAAAATTTTCTTCTCAATACCAGCAAGGCCATGATTAGTCAAAGAAATATGGAAGTTTGTTCAAATTACCAACCCCCTCCCCCCAATTTATATTTAATAAACTTTTCAATACTGAACTGATTTCTGCTTTTTCCATGCCAAAGTGCTCAGGTGAGCGATGTGGCTCATAGGCCTCTTGTTGTGTGATAGACAGACAGGACAGGGCACACAAACAAAACAGTAATAATGTATGCCATAAATAATTGCATCCCAACCACTAAGACACCGAAAGGCTGGGGACCACAATTCTTTGAATTTGTTTGTTAGTCCATTGTTTTTCCTACTGGTGTGTCAACAGAAAACTCTACCTGATCAAGATAAAGAACTTATTGCGGTGTGACCGATCGACAGGGAATGTTTACTCCTCCATGGCACCTGATCTAACTTATTATGGTTCCAGAGGTCCTTGTTTGCTCTCCTCTGTGTTTATTTTGTTTTATGGGATTTGAGCTTGATCACTGTTTTCTTCATATTTCATCCAGACTAAAATGTCACTTCTAATATACACCTAGCATTTTACATCTAAATACTCCTGATTTCCAGTCGAGGCTTGTAGATCAATATACGCTCTCGGAGTGCCCTAACATGACTTTCTATTTAAGGGTCCTCCACACCCCGTGACTTGTGACGTATATCGAGAAAAAATACTTTTACTTCCGGTTTTATATAGTTTATGCACTGACGATTTGACTGGCACCGCCTGTAAGAGAGTCTTATAAACGCTTTAGATATTAAGGTTTTGTCAAAGGAAGAGTATGCAGTCAACCGAGAGCGACACCCTGATCATAAACAATGAACACATGGCATGATCACGCCGTGACCGAAAGAAGAAAAAGTGTCGATCTTTTTCAATAAAAAAACAGCAGACATCTGAGATTTTGTTGCATAATGATTCGTAAATAACAGGTATATCTACTCGAAAACGTTTAAGTTTATGATACTTTCAGGCTAATAAATCCATTGCGATATCGTCAACAAGACTCTTGTGAAAAGTTGATCTTATTGTACACTGATTTGTGCGTTTCAATAATACCTATCTCATTGTGTGTTTATAAATATTGATAAAGTGTGCATTTCTAGTTTGGCTCATTTATATCTGTCCTGTTCAGTTGTGAATAACGAGTTACTGAGTACATGTATGATGACGTATGCGGAGACTTACCAAAGTTTTTGAGTCCTGGGTAACAGGAAAGATAACTCTCAAAACGGAACTTTGATACCACAAATTTTGAAAATAATTTTTCCTTTTCAATAAATTTGATTTTGATTCAATTTTTTGTTGTAATTTAATTCATTAATGTTTCTTCTATACTATCAGGAATCTTCCATAATTTTTTCTCCATGAATTTTAGAGTAAATGAGTTATATTTATTTTTTATAACTTTGATTAATTTTTAAAAAAAATATCCTCGGTGATAAAATTAAGTTTTTGTGGTTGTTTTCTAGGCTTAATAATATATTCCAGGAGAACACAAAATTTGTTGTGCTACTTATAAAAACTCGGTGGGGAAAAAGTCTTAAAACTTATGAAATTAAATTTTAAAAAAATCAGTGTAAATTACATTTCAATTCTTGGCCAGTTTTTAAAGGTTGATATGCTTGTTAAAAGTAATGCTCAGTAATATGAGAACATAAGATGGGGGTGTGTGGAGGACCCTTAAAAATTGCGCAGAGTAAAGAATAGTCGCTCCTTTTTATAAAAGTCGTTTAAATAGTTATTTACTAGTGAATTTTACAATATATAAGGATTCTATCTTAACCGTCGTTTTCATTTTAAAAAAATCTTAAACGAGGACATGTACTAGTATTCATGTACACCAAATACAATCAGTCAACGAAGTTATACAAAACGTGTAGAAAAACATTCCAAGCCAGCTATATGTATTAATCGAAGTTTAACATATTTTAGAAGGCAAACAATGAATGATGAATGAAAAAAATCGATTGATCGTGAAAAAATCTCTACTGCTGGAGCCTGTTTTCAAAAATTTCTACTTCATAGAAAAGCAACTATAATAAACTCCATTTTGAAGAAGGTTTTTAAAGGGAAAGTTTTCCAAGAGTTTCTAGCGAGCAATGTACAGGTTACGGTCAACAATCTAGTATAAATAATATATGAACACCAATATATATATATATATATATATATATATATATATATATATATATATATATATATATATATATATATATATATATATATATATATATATATGAGAAAAATGAGGACAAAGTGAAATTCAAGGTCATATCAATTGAAGTTTGAAGAATTTTTTTTAAAAATTCATCGATATATTCAAAGAAATCTACTGTATAACATATTTATTAAAAAACTTTTATGTTTCCTCATGCTGCACAATCTCACCGCAGCTCTGTTTTTGCTGAGTTATGATCAATGAAATCAACACCAATGTTGAGATGAAATCAGTCATTTATTAAAAATGACGAAAATAAGAAAAATATATACATAAACATGATAGGGGATCAGACCGAAAGGTATTCACACAATACATATCAATATGCTGATCCCTAAATTTACAGATAAACAATATTTGCAAGAAATACAAAAAACAATAAGTATACAGCAAAAAGATTGCACATCAAAAATAAATATGCCAGTCAAATTCAAAATTTATAAATGCAAATAAGGTAGGAAAGACTGGGTTGGTGGTGGGTGTGACAAATTTTTTGTTGTTATCGATAGCGTAGATGAGGCGAGAATGACCCAACGCTGACTGGTCAGCAACCGACAGCATCAAAACACGTGACCATGATGGTCATTTCTGATTAGCTATTAGCATACATAGGGGTAAGGTTTGACCATGGAAAATTTTGGAATTGTGTAACAAGTAACCGAAACTGAAGAAATGGGGAAATTGCATAACATGCAACTCACATATGCAAGGCATGGGAGAGTTCGAACAAATGAAGGAAAATCAAAATGAGTATGAAAACAATACAAAATAAAATATTTACTTACTTACATTTAAACAAAAGAAAATTAAACAGCATTCAACACATAAATGAAATTATTTATTTAATTGTTGTTTCAAGAAATATTAAATAAGCAAGATGTTTCTTGAAAAAATGTCATCGATTCTTTTCTGAAATCTAATAAACAGATTTCACGTCCCTGACACATAAAAATGAAACATCAATATTTAGAAATCTTATTAGGACAGATACATAGAAGAATGAACTTCATAGTTCTCTCAAATAGATTTTCCACATTAGTTATACATTTATAACAACTTTTAAAATATTAAACATGGACTCACAAAAATAGATACATGATACACAATAACAAAAATATATAGATAAAAATACACTTTTGGAGCAACAGCAATTGTGGCTGGGAGCTCATTGCAGGCCAGTACTGAGAAATTCAAAATCACTGGAATAGCATGTTTCTAACGATATTACAGAAGTTTAATAGGTCTTTGAATCAATTTAATTCTGAAGAAAAAAAATTTAGATCTTGTTTCAAATACTGTACCCATATATACATGTACTTTCATTATATTCTATGGTTAAATAGAATGTACTTTCATGATATCAATGGAAACGCAAAATTCAATAGCTCAGACTAAACAAAATTTATGGAGGGTGTTACACACAGAAACAAGTGATTCAATTCTATTTAACAAAATAATAATAAGCAGCAGTACGCCTCAGCGGATCGAAAGTAGTGTATTGATTATTTGCATTCAAAGATCAATATTTGTACCCATCCGTTCAATTTTGAAAGAATATATTATTCTTACAGGTTTAATAAAAAAATTTTTTGGTTCATTTTCAAATTCACTCCATTTCAAGATATTTTTCAAAGCAAACACACTGGAGAGAGATATTGATTAAAAATTGTTTTATAGTTATTTTCGTTGACCATCACTGTTTTCAGGATTTTACTGGTTGTAAACAGCCGGTTGAGGTGGGTAAGCAGGATCGGACGAAGTTTGGGGTTGTCCGGGGTAGCCGGGTGGACCCTGGGCTGTCGGGTAAGAGGAGTATCCCACCAGGCCCGGTTGTCCATACGTGTAATTTGCCGGTTGAGGTTGTCCATATTGATAAGCTGTCGTCTGCTGCTGGATAATAGCAGGATTAGTGTTTGGAGCAATAACGACACCTCGAGCTCTTTTCTCTGGGGAAAACAAACACTGGCAGTCACCATTGATTTAAATAATGTATTAGACATGAATGAACTCCGATAAGTCAGATAGCTAAACATATTTACAATAAACTGAAAATGTATTTGGAAAATATTTTTGCAAAAAAAGCGCTTAGAAAGGCAATATATTTAAGATCATTATTTTAGAAATGACGGAGTTTAAAAAAACTTACTTTTGCAGGCGATGATAACGATAATTATGACAATGATGAATATCACACCGAAGACAACGGGGGCGATGATAACCCTGTACATGAAAAAGATATGCTATATGCTAACTGTACATAAGATATGAAGATACCGAATAGTCATCAATCTCAAAAGTCCATTGGAACAACACAGATTAGAAGCAGAGCAAACACGAACCTCTAAAGACATCAGAGGGTGGAATCAGGTGCCATGGAGGAGTAAGCATCCCCTGTCGACCGGTAACACCAACCGTGTGCTCCTTGTCATGATTGGGCAACGTCAGTCAACATTTGACTTGAAGCTGAACACGATTCGTAAAAGGAATGTGTCCGCCATATTCGATTGGTTTCTCGTTATATCTGAGGGCCGCTATATAAAGCCACTGACTTGGTCACTGTTCAGTGTAATCAATCGTCACCGGTGTAGACGGACGTGTGCTATACAGCACTCGGTAGCGACAAAATATAACTGTGTACTTCATCTAATGCAGGAGAGAAAGATACCAAAGAAACTTACAACAGTTGCACAGGTCAGTGCAGTATACAAACAAACACTTGTAAATACACGTAACTGCAATAAAATGTAAACAAAGGTAATGCAAAATAACCAGCACGAACACAGGTCGCCAATCCACGCCGACACCAGTGACAATAAAGCAGTCAGGTGTGACGAATGCGAAGAGTATACCCCGGTGCTAATATCGTAGATAGTAATATCGAAAATGCCTATTTACGAGTCGTGTTCAGCTTTAATGATAAATTGTATTTGCTTACAAGGTCACTGTATCGACCATAGAATTTGCAGAATGTTGACTCTTAACGGGACTATTGATATTCTTGTATCATCAACTTCATTGTCAATAACTTGCCTCGTTTAAACAAAATTTGTCTGTACGTAGAGCATGCTCTTGCGTATCGAATCAACTGGTAGACATAAACTCCAGGTGCAGGTGACAATGGTACTAGTAGATTGCTACATAAGTAAGGGAAGTTGACGATAGAAAAGTTGAAGTCAACACGTTTATCATCAAGTTTTGTTGCTAGGTTGTCATTAATGTCTTTTTCAAGTATCCAAATATGAAACAGAAGTGTCCGACTTTGTGCATGATGTCTTTTATTTCGAGTTCAAAGGGATATATCAAATCAACGTATGAATAAAAAAGAATATTGTTAATTGATAAAACGTCGTCGATATATCTAAATGTCGAACTGAAGACCACAGCAAGAGACCTCTACATGAAAAAAATTATATGTTCCCCCTACTGGCCCTCTCATATCTCCAACCACCCTCTGAAAATAATGTACCTTATACCTGCTTGGTATATTTACGACAGGTTGTAGATGGAAAACCCTGATGTAAAGCAAGATAAACAGCGTATGTAAGTGCAAAAGAAAGTCAAATATAAGCCAAACCATGAATCAACACTCAGAGAGTGCACATTTGCATGCTATGATTGTAAGCAAGACGAAATTTTGGTTCAAAAACAATACCTTGATTTGTCTTGAAGATAATAATTCGATGAACCTTATATATATAATCGTTTAGCCGATTCATTTAGCCAAATCAAAGATAACAAGATGTGTTTGTGAAACACTGATGCCCCCGTATGGCAACTTATAGCAAAGGTTAAACTTTCTCACATGCAAATCAAACATGTTAGGTCTTGTCTCGAGGAATATACCTGTGAAATATGAGAGCCCTAGCAGCAACCATGGAATTGATATGGAAAAAGTTAAAGTTTTTCAAAAGTAAGTCAAACATCATGGTCAAGGTCAAATGGTAAAAAATAATGGTGCTTAAGGAAAGGCCTTCTCACAAGAAATATACTGGTGAAATATGAAAGCTGAAGCACCAATCGTTCAAAAGTTATGACCAAGGTTTAAGTTTTCCAAAATTAGGTCAAACTCCAAGGTCAAGGTCAATGGATTACAATTGTTGGTATCCAAAGAAAGGTCTTGTCACAAGGATTCATAAGTGAAGTATGAAATCCCTAGCACCAACGGTTCACAAGTTATGGCCAAGGTTTAAGTTTTCCAAAAGTAGTTCAAACTCCAAGGTCAAGGTCAAAGGGTCAAAGTTGTTAGTATCCAAAGGAAGGACTTTTCACAAGGATTACATATGTGAAGTATGAAAGCCCTACCTCCAACGGTTCACAAGTTATGGCCAAGGTTAAAAGTTTTCAAAAGTATGTCAAACTCCAAGGTCAAGGTCAATGGGTCAAAGTTGTTGGTGTCCATAGGAAGGACTTGTCACAAGGAATACACATGTGAAATATGAAAGCCATAGCTCCAATCAATCAAAAGTTATGGGCAACGTTAAAGTTTTTGCGGACAAACAGACAAACAGAAAAACAGACAGACAGACAGACAGACGGACGGACAGGGCAAAAACTATATACCTCCGAATCTTCGATACGGGGCATAAAAATCTTAGTGATCTCAATGATAAATCACATTTCCAAAAGTTGTATAAAACAACAAACAAAAAGAAAAATCAAACAAAAAAGTACTGAAGGTATTTCAACCAAAAAAGTCTGTTGTTGGACAGTAAATGGGTGGAACAGAAATTTCTAATTAAAGATCTATTGTTGAGTCAAAGGTTAAAAAACAAAAACAAAAAAAAACAACTGATAAAGCTTTTTTTTTATAAAAGGAAAACGAAACATGTACTTTAGAGAAATAGTAAAGAGGAAATACTTCTTACATGTGGAAGGATATAAACTAGCAAGTGAAGACGAGAATTTTACTTGTTGATTAATACACAGTATTTATAAAGTACTTGTATTCGTCGGGAAGTGTTCATTGCTAGCGCTCTCGAGCGCTAGCAACTACGTTAGTCTATATTTCTGGAATACGCATGCTCGACTTTACGGTCGGGCATTCTGGGAAAACTACTGAAGATAGACTGTACGATGATAATTTCGTTTTATCATAAAAATTGATATGATCCGAATTCTGAATTTCTTAATTTATTGTCTAACCTATGATTAAAAGTACAAGAAAATTTGGGTCATATAATGCCAAGATTGTAGAGATCAACTGGTAAAACCTAGCTTTCCTTAAAGCTAACCATGTATACTACCTTCCTATATAATTCCGGCAAGCTCAGAGAAAAAAAACCAGGAAATCTTTCAGAGTTTGTCGGAAAGACACGAGAAGCGATTGATACAATGCAGTAGCACTGATATAATTATAATTCTTTAATTTTTAATTTTTCCTTTTTTGACGGAAAAGCCCGAGTAATTATGATCCGATTGTTATTGCTAGCGCTCTCGAGCGCTAGCAACTACGTTAGTCTTTTTTACTGGAATACGTATGCTCGACTTCATGGTAGGCCATTATGGGAATACTACTGTAGATAAACTGCACCATTTCAATTTCGTTTTTTAATCTGAAAATACATATGATCTGAAGTTTCGCGTTTTGTTGTCTAATCTTAAATAAATGTACAAAGGGTAACAGTAAATGCCAAAACTGTACAGATCAGTTATAGTTTCTAAAATTATAATATTAAAAAAAACTAGCTATTTTTAACTATCTTCCTGGATCTTTCCGGCAAGCTCGGAATAACAATCTCGGATATGTTTTCGGAGCTTGCCGGAAAGGCCGAAAGGATGCGATTGCTACAAAACAGTACCACACTGGAATATTTTTAAACTAGGTGTTCATTGGTTCTACTTATCTCTTATTTTTCACTTTAAAATTGAAATTACAGTAAACTACAGAATGCTTAAAGCACAGTTAATGATTCATGCCATTACCAATGTGAAAACCCACTCAAAACAAAGCTTTGAAGTTCATTATTGTCATGTTTTTTGACTCTGGGTATCCCGAATTTAATCCAACAATAGCCTTTTTTATAAATAGTCTGATGAATATTTTGTATTAAACACTGAATAGCTGAAACCTTCACCATTCTGAATTAAGACACATCCCCCAACACTACCTCCAGTGTACCACTGTGTCTTCCTATTAATAATTAGGGACGACCATTTGATTCTGAAGGGGGGGGGGCTGGCAGATTTTGGAAATAAATAATCTGTCCTCAAAAAAGTTGAAAATAAATAACTGTCTTTCCACGACCGGCAAGAAAATAAATAATCTGTCATTGACTATTGCTACTTAACCACCCCCCCCCCCCCCATTCCCTCTTTGAGCTTTTTTTAATGTTTTTTTGTTTTTGTCAAACTTTTTCAGTGAAGAAGAAAATGAATAATCTGTCCTTGATCATCTTGAAAATAAATAATCTGTCCTTGACTGGCATGGAAATAAGTACTCGAAAGATTTTGCTAGACCCCCCACCCAACTCCCCTCCTCAGAATCAAATGGTAGTCCCCTTAATCGATTCAGCAAATTAATCCAATAATTCAGATATCTAATTCTGTGGTTTATGATAGCTACAGCGCTAGCTCACCTATCTTTTTAAAAGATTAAGCTTGTAATGATGTAATGCCAGAATTTAAAGGGAAGAATATTTGCATTAACTTACTATACAAATAACATCCACTGTATCTGTAAAAATTTTTAAGATGCTAAGATACGAGAGAGAGAGAAAGACTCACGTTAGACTGATACAGATGGCGCCACTGCAGATAAATCCGTCAGGGCAGCAGTATCCTGTGGAATGGCTACAGCAGTGGTAACCATAGAGACAGGATCCTGTTCCACAACTCTCACCAAAGAAACCATTCACTAAAATTTACAATGTCAACAGATCATAACCAAAAATTAACAGGTTGATTAATTGATTTACGATTTTCTTCATTTTTTCTATCCTCTTGATTTTACATTAAATTGAGTTTGTATGCTAATAATGAAGTCCTTGCATTCTAGAAAAAATATAATCATATCATTTTATCCCAATTAAATTGATTCATGCTTAGAAAAAATTATACATCATTTTTTTTTAGTCTATCGTAAAGTATATAGAACCATCATCAGTTTCTCCTTTTCCTATAAACAACATATACTTACCTGTCTATTCAAAAGATTGATTTCTGTTGAAGAGGATAATCAGTAAAGTGATGAACTTTGTATAATCGATTTGACCCTAACTCCAATTCATTTAGTCAAATCTTATAGTGGGTAACTAAATTCAAACAAACGTAAAGCAACAAACTTACCGAAATCACAGAACAAAAACAAAATCAGAAAACACAACACTTCAGGTATTTCAGCCATATCTGTCTTCTTACTGGATGGTAAAGGAAGGAGGCGCAGACTACTCATCCGGAAGTGAATCTATGGCGACAACTGACAAACACGTCAAATCATAATGGAGGTCAGCCAGATGGAAATGAAAATAAATCTAAAAAAAGATGGCTAGTATCGGTATCCTTCTTTTAATTTTTGGCCAAAGCAGAATGTAGCTACATATGCAAATGTAAAAAGTTTTGTTGAGAACCGTAGGTCAATGAATTTTCATTTAAATAAAAAATGTCTAAAAATGTGTAGACTACAATCATCCCCTTGTTCTGTTCTTTAAAAGGAGGCAGGTGAATCATATTTCAATACATTTATCTTTGTGTACACATATTGAGTTCTGCTAGCTATTCTTGAAAAGGAATATAGAATGGTTGTTCTACAGAGATCGAGCTTATATAGTGGAGAAGTGTTTTTTTGTTATTGGTTTGTCTGTTTCATTGTTTGTTTTTTGTTTGTCTGTCTCGCTGTTTGTTATTGGTTTGTCTGTCTCGCTGTTTGTTTTTTGTTTGTCTGTCTCGCTGTTTGTTATTGGTTTGTCTGTCTCGCTGTTTGTTTTTTGTTTGTCTGTCTCGCTGTTGGTTTTTGTTTGTCTCGCTGTTTGTTATTGGTTTGTCTGTCTCGCTGTTTGTTTTTTGTTTGTCTGTCACGCTGTTTGTTTTTTGTTTGTCTGTCTCGCTGTTTGTTATTGGTTTGTCTGTCTCGCTGTTTGTTTTTTGTTTGTCTGTCTCGCCGTTTGTTTGTCTGTTTCGCTGTTCGTTTTGTCTGTTTCGATGTTTGTTTGGCTGTTCACAAACATATCCTAAATAAAAAACATGCAGTCTTAATACTTGACACGATGGTAGCTTATGATAAGATGCTGTGTCTTGGTCCTATTATAAGGACCACACAGGAACTCGAACAGTAAAATTCTTGTCTGATCCATAACTTTGTAGTGGAGAAACCTTAGCTTGCACTCGTCAGAGTTAAATTTAGGATCAGAGGATGTGTCTTTACCTTGACATCACCTCATTTGCAGATTATAAGCATTGACATTTAGTATCAATATAACTTTACTTTAACGAACATGTTAAAATTAATAATTTACGATAATGGCATGAACACTTGTATAGTTCAGGGAGCACTTGTCAGGGAGCATTTATTAGAGGTATAAATGTTCGTAAACAAACCTGCAATTGGACTGATTCTCCAACTTCCTTTTACAATGTATAAATATAAGTACCATGTAATGAATTAAATGTCACAATGCACGAAGAACATTCTTTTTAACAATTCACTAAAAACTTTAATAATTCTGAAAAGAATATTTTACATTTAATTTTTTTATTAAACAAATTATGGGTGGCTCTAAGTGCGACAAAGAAAATATTTGAGTGAGTGAAAAGTGCGCTTAGATTGAATGCTAGTACCTGTTCCACAGGTATTCCATCTTTAAATTTTCAACAAAAGCTATACTCTGCTTTAAAAGCACATTATGAACAATTACACTTGTAAAAATAAGAATAAAGACAGGTACAATTAATTAATTTAATTTGTACCCGTCTTTGATCAGATCTGAGTGTATTGACTTCAGGTGGCAGAGGATAGTTTTTTTTAATGCCAAACATGTGCCGAGGGGGTACATATATACATGCAATCCATAAAAACATGTACATGGGGACAGTTTTCCAGGGGCTAATTAATTACACTTCATATGCCCATGGCTCACAAATTATGTCAACAAATTACATGTAATCTGCCTATTAGAGTGCACATGTACCAAAAATGCACCTGGGGACTCCCCAAATTTTGGCTTGTTTTTCCAAGATTTGGGCCTCAGTCGCACCCATACAACCCACCCCCAGGCCCGAGCGAGCAGGATAAAACACCCAGTAGTCTGTATATCAATGCATGCTCTAATGAAAATTCACCAATTGATATGGGGCCATTCACCTTCCCTCTGAGATACACACCTTCTTCTAAGGCCTACTGCTTTTCAGCTGAATTTCCTCTGCAACTGACCACGTGTCTTAGTTTCGCATTTACAACTCTGTATATGATAAGCGTCATAGTGACACCTACATGTTGCACATCATTTTTTTTTTCAGCAAGCACTCTGCTACACTGCAAATGTGTCCCATAATTATTCTAATCATTTTTCTACATAAAATATCACATCAAACAGGGGATATCTCAGTTTTTTAAGAAATTTGACGGGTCTTTAGTACGAAACTATCCCCTGCCACCTCACAAGTTCGAAAGGATTTAGATAACTTGTACGTACATGTATATGTGTGTTAACTTATAAAAGAGAAAAAAAAAAGAATAATGATGTAAATAGAATGGATCCATAAATAATGTGGATATCAATTTGAAGGATTAGCAACTGCTGAAGGCGACAATCGCATCTTAATTCTCAGACCTTTCCGACAAACTTGGAAGAACACCTCGAATGTAGTCAAACCTCGTTATCTCGAACTCGATGGGACCGAGTATCCGAGATATTAGGGGTAAAATACTTAAAATATAAGTGGTTTGGACTTCCAAATCACTTCGACATATCCATGGTGTTCGAGATATCAATGTTCGAGATATCGAAGCTCAACTGTATTTATGTAACCGGATGTTAAAATTTTATACAAAATAGAGAAGCTTCCACTTTTTAAAGTATTGGAAAGACATAGTTGATTGTCCTTTTTGAAGTATATTATAAGTATTCCATGACGTTAAGCTCCAGACTCGGATAAGAGGTCTCCTCATATATTTATTTCAAAGTTTATGAAAAGAAAAGGGGGGGGGTGTCATGGACGCCTGCCTAACACATTCCATGGCCGTAGGAACAGGGGGGGGGGGGCACTGGGGGGGCCGTGCCCCCCCCCAATAATTTTGCCGATATATAGATTACTATAGTAAACATAGATAATGTTTGCTTGTGCCCCCTCAGTAAAAACGTCTGATGACCTTTTTTTTTTTGCTTGTTAAGGAATTTTGGTAGTTGATAGTTGATGTTTTTTTTTTTTTTTTTTTGTTGCTTGTCAGGAAATTTTTGGTAGTGCCCCCTCAACGTCAACTGAAAAATGTATGGCTGTGCCCCCCCCCCCCCCCCAAACTGAAATTGCTTCCTACGGGCCTGCATTCGCTTATCGGAAAGATCCGAGAAGATGCGATTCCTGAAAGCGATAAATCCACAAGTAGTAAAGTCAAGGTCTGCAGTCCGGACACAAATATTTAAGAAAGCTCAACTTTGTTTACTCAGGGATTTTTTTACCCCTTGATTCCAGGGGCCGGGGCCGTCAAGATTGGGAAAAATAGCGATATTTGGTTGAAATTGGGAAATATATTTTCATACAAATAAATAGGAAAAAAACAAGCAAAAGTCAAATATTTAATCATTTTTCTTATTTTTATAGTATGAAGCTGGCTTAAACCAGCTTTAGTGATATGAAATAATAGCGGCTGTTGAAGTTCAGAAGCTTAAAAATGGCAAAGCCGCAGGGTATGATAACATTGTAAATGAACATATTTATACGTTGTCATCTTTTTTACCTTTATGTAAGAAGTTCTTTAAAATAACATTTGATAGTGGGTTTGTTCCAGATGAGTGGTTAATCGGTATTGTTTGACCAATTTATAAGAATAAGAGCGATTCAACCCAGCCTGAAAATTACCGTCCTAGGCAAACTGGAGAGACTGACATGATGCACGTTTATTTTTTAGGTAACGATGCCGACTTTAATTTTTAAAAATCGATCCCGCTTTAAAAAGTATGCATGCAAACATCCATAGTTAAGTATTCCGAATAACTTCTCGGAAGTCCTCGGATGGCTCGTACATCGCACATAGAGAACATAAACACCTTTTTGTCATTATTTTATTTTAATAATTTACAACTTAATACTTTTTTTTATATTGGGAATTTTTAGGTATGATTTTGGGAAAAACATGCACTTTTCAGCATTGGGAATGGGGCCCATTTTCGGCCCCAGAGAGACCCTAAAAAAATCCCTGTTACTCCTCCGTGCATAATTTTGTCGACATTCCCTGTTTCAATGTAAAACAATTCTAACACAATTGTTAACAACATAAAAGGGATTGTGTATATTTTCATGAAAATATTCATCGTCCACTGTCCTTGAACTTTGAGGCATAGAATTGAGTTAAAATCAAGAGATATCTTTAGGTCATCAGGTTCAGCATAAGTTTAAACTCATTCCAATCTCGGTTAAAAGGTCATGTCCCAGATATGATTTCTCATTGTCCACTGACCATGACCTCTGAAATACAAGACCCTCAGTTAAAATCATATAACAAGATGGGGGGGGGGGGATGAGATCAAGTACATGTACTTGCTATAAATGTACATGTACAGGGTTAACCAAAATATCATACTATTTTGAAAGATAATAAAATAATTTTGCCGATTTAAAAACAAAGCTATTAACTTCTGTAACTTTATGCTTGCGCCCCTCAATAATAACGTCCGATGGCCTTTCTTCGTCTTGTCAAAGAATTTTTGCTTTGAAGCCCCCCCCCCCGTAAACTAAACTTGTTTGGTTGTGCCCCCTCCCCCAAACTGAAATTGCTTCCCACGTATACGGGCTTGCGCTAACTTTATATCTGTGCACAAACAGTGTGCAGTCAAGGTTTACATGCAAGTTCATTTGAGACATGGAAACTTTGACTGCATTGGGCAAGATGGTATATCAGATGGCATATTAGATATACTCGTGCCAATAAGATACATGTTTTACTAACAGATTAAAAATGATTTTTTAAAAAATCGATTAAGAAACAAGTTGGACTTTATAATTTTTGTTCTCAATACCAACGATATATACATAGGTTGTGAAAGATAGTCGAAAGAGCGACCAATATGACCTATAATATACGTACGTACATGTAATTATACGTCTCTCTAAATCCGGGCATCGAGCTAATCACTGCTTACGCACAAAAAGAATAACATGCTGCATGTTGCCAGTGCGTTTCGAACTGATATATTATAAAAGCATGTTAAGAGGCTTCTTTTTTCCTGAAAATTATCATAAATACGAAATTTGGTC